ATTATTAGTAATTAGATTAGTCTGAATAGTTAGCTCTGGCAGAATTTATACATAATAACTAGTAACACTCTATAATAGGACAGTCCCTGTTCTTTCTTAATTATAAGAGACATTCATACTAGGGGACAGTTCTAAACTAGAACAGTAGTTCTGAATCTGTAACAGACTTTGTAGAACAGATATACAAGACTAGGAAAGATGTATGAGCTCTTTTAGAGAAGGTAGTATAAGTAATAAAGTAGAACTACAATTAGAAGAGATTTGTAGCTAAGGATTACTAGTTTAGGGACAAAGTTATACTAGAAGCTACTAACCTAACTATAGATTGTCTAATAAAGAAGTTGGACAACAAGCACTTTAGACCCTTTATTATTGAAAAGAAGGTTAGTGCCTCTGTCTACAAACTCTAACTTCTAACAGTATAGAAGTATATACACCTAGTGTTTAATAAGGTTCTACTGTCTTAGTACTACAATCCAGGTTTTCCTTCATAATAAAGACTCCTACTATCTTTACCAGAACTTATTAGTTTCAAACTGGAATACAAAGTAGAGTATGTAGTAGATACTAAGCTAGTGTATAGAAAGCTCAAGTTCCTTATCTACTAGAAGGGATACTTAGTTGAGAAACATACTTGGGAACCTGCTGAGAATCTCACCTATACTACTAAGGTGATCTGAGACTTCTATTAACTTCATCCAGGTGCTCTGTATCAACTCTGCCTTACAGATTTCTAAACCCTACTATTCTAACTTATACTTAAACTGCTAACCAAGCCTAATGTTTACTAATTAAAACAATTAGTTTTAGAGAGAGAGTAATGTTACAGTTCTCTACTCTCATACCTTCAGTTCTAAGGGTTCTACACCCTTCTATACTGAAACTTAGGACTTCTGTCCCTTAAGAGTACTGTCTATAAACTATATGTATACTAACTCTTACTACTACCCTTCCTTACTTTATTATTCTATTCCTTTGACCACCCCTTCATTCTTTGTTCATTCTATAGTCTCTTACCCTTTGTCTATCCCTTCATTCTTTATACCTTTATCTTTGACCTTCCTTTCTTTCATTCTTTGTAGCTTATTATTCTTAGTAGCTCATACTCTCTGAGTACTCTTATATAGTTTAGTATATATAAGTGTACAAGATCAGACTAGTTTTATAGTCTTGATCTTGTCTACTCTAGATAGTCCTGTACTCTTAGACTTACTCTATATACTCTACTCTTGTCTCACTCTCTCTCTCTACCTGTTCTACAAGTTCTAACTATGTTTTAGTACTTGTGTTCTATATTTCTGTTATGTAGGATAGTTGTAGCCTGAGTCCCCTTACTGAGCCTTCAAGTCCCCTCTACACTGTTACTAACATCTATGTGAGGGATTACTATATATAGTAGACTATACATAGAACCTCTTTACTAAAAGGGTGTAATGTTAAGCTTGACTTAATACCTGGTTTACACTATATATACTAATAAATGTTTGTGTTCTAACATTACTCTCCTCTCTAGAGTCATGTGTTCTTATATGACTAGTATATAGAGTTTGACCCTAAGGGTTACTATTTCTAGCTTAACCTTAACAGTCTTTAGAGGTAGGGAGAGATATCCTAATATAGAGTCCTAGCCCTAGTATTCTAAGCAACTAAGAAATTCACTCCCCCCCTTTTAGGAAGCTTATTCTCAGCCTAATACTTTTGCTTACAGACAACTCTATATTAGGATCAAACCCCTGACTGCTCTAAGCTTGACATTATGTAAGGGATTACCATATATAGTAGACCATATATAGAACCTCTTTACTAAAAGGGTGTAATGTTAAGCTTAGCTTAACACCTGGTCTACACTATATATACTAATAAATGTTTGTGTCCTAACAAGAGGCCCTGTTTTCTTAACAAGAACATTAAAAAGAATCTACTTAGCTTGATACTAAGTGTTTTACATATGAAAGGGCTAAGGATGAGAAGGAGGAGGAAGTTTACTACAAGAGAATGTAGTCTAAAGATCAGACTACAAAGATACAGGAGATGCAGAATATGGAAGAATTGTATTATTCAAAACTTGAGCAGTACTGTCAGATACAAGACTCAGACAATCTAGTAGAGTAGGACCTGACAGTTGACCTTACTGAGGAGATTTATAACATTAGTAACACTATCAGACATCTCTGTTATACTAAGTAGTAAGACTAGCTTACATATACTTTAAGAAAGTAGAATTACAGTATCTTGTACAACAATACAGGCAAAATATGTAAGGATATGTTTCAAGGAAGGATTACAGTGTCTTATACAACAATACAGGCAAAGTACACAGTAATATACTTTAAGAAAGTAGGGTAGAGTGTATTAAATGTGTACAAATAAATCACTATGTAATTATATTAGAAATAGAACATACATTCATTTTTCCAAAAGACCTAGTGCCTGAGTATATCACCTAGTGTCTAAAGTCCATCTATATACTTTATAAGACATTTACAACAATGTAATCCAGTATAATAGAGGTGTGTATCTGTCATTTGATTAATTTCTCTTCTTATTCAGGCTGCTCCTTTGTCTGAGTCATTAATGTCTTGAGCAAAAATATTAGCATCCTCCTCTCTATTATAATCCAAGATGTTAGTAGGATCATTATTAATATTAATAAGGATGTTATGAAGCACTAAAAGAGCTTCAATTGTTGTGTAAATAACATTAATATTAGTGTCTAGAAGGTACTAAAGGGAAGGAAAGCAGCCTTTGAGCATACTAAAGGTATACTTAATAGTAATGTAAGAATGTAAGAGTGCAAAATTAAAATAGTAGTAGTAGCAAGCCTCTTCCAGTTTGTTTGTAAGATTGCTTTCAGTAAAAGGCTGTATAGTAAACTGTATAAGAGGATAACCTGTTGATACAGTAATGTAAGAATGTGAGGTATTGTATATTGAGATATAAAGTCAAAAAAAACATACTCTTATCAGCTAAAAGAAATTCCTCCTTTGAAAAATGGTCTCCTTTGAATTGCCAGACACAAGAGTCACAGAACACAGTAGTATCCTACACATTTCCAGGCCATCCTAAGTTATAATGGGTAAAACATTTTTTGTTGTTGCAGATTCCTTATAAAGCAACCTTTACAATTCTATATACTTAAAATTAAGTATTAAAAGAAAGGAGAACATAAAAATAAACTCACAGTATAGAACTTCTTCCTACAGAAGTATTAAAACTCATATTTCCTTGGCTTTGTAGTAAGAGGGATGAGGAATCCATCTAGCATACTAATACATCCAGGAAACCCTTTATTCTACATTCTAATCTTTAGTGCTTAACATTACTCTCCTTCTGGTCAAGTGATAAAACAAGGATAGAGCCAGCAGAAAGCAGTAGTAACTCTTACACAATACAAGTATACTGTACCCTCTGCAACTGATGCCATCTCAGCAACCTTGATACATGTTGAGGATCTGTTATGTATAAGGAAGACAGCAAGCTGCATCCAAGGTAGTGCTTATACTCTGTACATTAGAACATACATGTAGTTTTGACTATAGGATAAGACATGTAGGAACTCACTTTGTACCAGTAATTCTAAACACTTCATCATCCTTAATAAGATCAGTTAAGACCTTGAATGACTCACAGTTGAGTCTAAAAGATGTATGACAGATGAGAGAGTGTAGTGGCATGTATATGATTCATAACCTTGAGATTTACCTGAAGAATGATTTAAAAATCAAATCTGACATGTTATATAGTAAATTACTCAGGAAATCTTCTGAATAGGATGTGTCATATGGACCACAGTCTGAAGGACAAGCTTGAAGCAGTAAGCAATGAGCTTTGTATGTAAGAAACATGCCTATGAGTAAATCCTTGTCTGTTTTAGTGTATAAAGTCTGGTAAAAAGCAAAAGATCCAATGTTTAAAGCATTTTGCATACTGTTATATGCTAACAGGGCCATTTCAGAAGGAGAATGGAGAGTGTAAGATATGATAAAATGGATATATTTCACTTATTTCACACTTGTGCTCATTCTATGCAGTCACGGGACTGTGTTATTTACAGTGTTCTGTCACGCTAATCATGATTTACGTTGGTTTTGGTGAGGGAATTCTTTGTTTATTTTAAACTCCGACACTTCGCAAGTCTGCACAAGCACTCGAGAGCACTTGTGCAAAATTGCACAGACTTGCACGGAGGGAACTACATAAGGCAGGAGTTAAGGTTTTGGGGTGTTGGTTCTTTTCCCTGTGCCAAGCTGCAAGTCTCCCTTGCCCTTGCAAGTGAATTGAGGACGGCTATTAGTAGCCCACCCCGAAGCTTACTTCTTTAAATGGAAATAAACAATGCATATGCTTACTAATCCGATTGTTTTCAATTCAGCGGGAGACGTCGAAACAAACTTCACGTTTCTCCCGACTGAATAAATGTAAAGTTAGCAAGTCTTTCTGCGACGCGGGATTCGTCGTCTTCGCCAAGGAAAGCAAGTAACCAACAAGACTCTGTTTTCTAAAGAAAACCCTCACATCCGGCCGCCGGCGGTATCGAAGAACTTCTATCTAAGACGGAGCCCCACGCCTTCCTCTTTGCTTCCGTGGATCATAAAGATATTCCCAATTTACTGTTAAGGCAGATTAAGCGGCTGTAGGCGGACATATGGTGGTTCAGTTCATCTTCCGGAACGTTGGTACTGTTATTCTTCTTAGTCTTCATCCTGACCAAAAGACGGCATGGGCGCCACAGTCTCGTGCTAACTCTATCGGACCGTTTGCAAGTTCCGATCACAGTTACATATGCAAGTTATCCGTAATGATAACCGTCAACACAGTCCACAACTGCACCCCAATTTCCCGAGAAGCGTAATTGAACGATACATTGCTCCATTACGGGGATATGTAGTTCAGACATCATGTCCGTCATTAACCGCCTGTGCTCGATGGTATAAAGCTGCGAGTTCCGTCACTGCTCCAAAATCTCAGCTCCTCTTAAACAAGTAAGACGTGTACCACTTATGCCAGCTATTATCAACGCAATTCCTTCGAGAGACGGGCGAGCTTTCGATGAGGCGTCCGATGCTGTCGACGATGGTATGTTAAACCCTTTACGCGCTGTTAAGCTTTGTGTTCGTGCTTCTAATCTACTTTACAGTTAACAAACTCAAAGCGCGTCTGTGGAGTGACAAATCCGAGTTCGATGCCAATAAGGACAAGGACCAGTTCCGGAAGTACGAAGAAGCTTGCGATCGTGTAAAAGCGTTTTACAAAGAGCAGCACGGTAGGTTGAACCTAACTTGTGACGAAATAAAACTGACGTCTTTGGTCAGAAAAGCAAACAGTTGAGTTCAACATCAAAGCGAGGGTAGAGTTCCGGAAGAACATGCGAGCACGGATGGGTATGTCATCACCTTAATTTAGTGTTCTTACCTAACTATCCCCGTAACTGCTATTGTTTTTCCGTGAAGGCATTTGGGAAGCCATGGAAAAGCTTAATACGCTCGTCGATGATTCCGACCCTGATGTACGATCGACTCTTTATTGATTGATAGACTTATAAGCCAACCTGATCTTCATGTGCCTCGGACGATAGATAAATCTCACTCAGATCCAACACCTTCTGCAGACGGCAGAGGCCATTCGCCGAGACGGCAAGCCGGAGTGGATGCAGGTACGTCATAGGCAAATATCTCACGCTCGGAGCACTTTGTCAAGTCAACTAATTGGGATAGGTCGTTGGCTTGGTTCATGACCTTGGAAAGTTGCTTTACATATTCGGCTCCGAGTGGGTTTACGTCTCCTCTGTATTTTTGACTAAATAATAAACGGACTTACTTGCGCTTACACTTCGTTATCGTAGAGGCCAATGGGATGTGACTGGGGTTCGTCTATTTTATCTCAGATTCCCGCCCGGTCACACTGAAACACACATGATTAGGATACATTCGTCGTTGGGTGTGCCTTCTCCGATAAAAACATTTACCCAGATACATTTGACAACAACCCGGATGCTCATGATCCCGTATACTCAACTGAATATGGGATTTACAAGCCACACTGTGGGTTCGAGAATGTGATGCTTGCCTGGGGCCACGATGAGGTTAGCGTAACTTTCCTGCAGTCGAGTTTAATTTCGTTACTGAAATGGCACACTAGTACCTTTACCACGTCCTTAAGGAGCAAAGCACATTACCAGATGAAGGCCTCGCGATGATCCGATACCACAGCTTCTATCCGTCAGCACCACTCATTCAATTGCTTCTCAATATAGACTCTGACTATACATTTAGGTGGCATCGTGAAGGAGCATATATGCATTTGGCAAATGCTCGCGACGAAAAGCTTCTTGTGGCTGTCAAGGCCTTCAACCCGTATGACTTGTATAGCAAGTGTGACGAGTCTCTTGACCCCGCTGAGCTTCGACCGTATTACGAAGGCCTGATTGCCAAGTTCTTCCCCGATGTCATTGAGTGGTGAAAGAGTTTCTTCAATTCTTGTACTTGACTAATTTGTAAAGTTACAAAATTCCTATTTTCTTTAAAATCAATTCTATCAATCCTGAATCCGAGGAAACAAAGTCTGCGTGACAAATATACACATCATAAAAATACCTGTTTCAACTTGTTACCATTTATATCTTCCGGGCATATCGACGCAATCTATGCATGGCTAGTCTCAAGGTCGCGCTTGAAACGCTCCACAATGGGGATCATACCTCCCTCGTCAACAGAGAATCCGAGACCGAGAGCGTAGGAGTTGTCAAACCGCGCTGGCCAAGAGCTAACAATGCGGCGGTTCATTGGGTTATCCTCGAACTTGATGAGCTTGACCGCGTCGAGTCCAGCGACTTTGGCAAGAGCGTCAATCTCGTCTCTCACGGTAGCGCAGAAGCCAGGCAAGCAGACGACACGTGTGTACGGAAGGAACCTGTCCGCTGGAACGTGCTTCGCCGCGAGAAAGTAAACATAAGCCATATTATTCTTTATTTGCATTGGGAAATAACATATTCACCTTAGCATGAACGAAGTTCTTGATTGTCGTCTCAGGGGATGCAAGCCATGCGGCAAGCTCCAGCTCAGGAGAGTCTAAAGAGGATCCGACAGGGCAAATAGCTTCTATACCTTGCAAAGGTTCGCGGACGATACCCGAGAGGAATGCGGACGTTGCGTTGGAAGGGGGACCCGGGCGGACTACTATAGTGGGCAGACGCATGATGCGACCGTCGACAAATCCACGTCGGGTATATTCGTTTATGAGCAGTTCTGAGACGAGCTTTCCTGTTCCATATGCGCCCTCCGGAGTTGCTATTGTTGAAGGGGTAACGATGTCCGGCAGCTGACCGCCGTAGACAGCGAGGGAAGAAGAGAAGATGAATTTGATTTGACGGCCCGCCGCGGTGCCCTCGTGGCGTGCGGCATCCAACAGAAGGCGTACGGAGTCAATGTTAACCTATCCACCAGGTGATACGATGTGTCAAACTAAATGCCACACGGGCAAGTCTAGAAAAAAAAACAGACATGCCTTGAGACCGAGGTCGAAGTTGTCTTCAGCACCGCGTGACATGATGCCATGGAGTGCATAAATCGTATCTGGCAGGCCAAACTCAGTCCTGAAGAGCTGCTCCACAGGTGCTTTCTGGGTGAGGTCGGCCTTCACCGTAATGACTCTAGTGCCTCCCGCCTTGGGTTCAATGATGTCAGCAAGGACGAGATGCACATTAGGCGTCCTTGAATCTCTCAGAAGTTCTTGAGCAAGTAGACCGCCCAGCCAGCCACTGGCGCCAGTAATGAGCACAACAGTTCTGTCAGAGGACATTAACGCGCACGTCGCTGCAAGGGGGGCAGAGTGGCTCCGGTGGGGAAGCAAACGGGCAAGGGAATTGAGAGAGCATCACACGGTGTAAAGCTCAGAATTTATACACTCTCGCGGAGCGCACGACTGTCGGGGGCAAGATGGATAGGAGGACTCGAGAGAAAGACCTAAGTCCTCCCTGTCACTCGGCATCGATTTGAGATTTCCGCCGGCTGTGGCACAAAAACCGATCCGCCCACCGTTTTCTCCGTTCCTCCTCCCCGTCTCGACATTGTTCCGGATTGACTCAACCGGCTGCACGGCTCAAGGTTCGTGTGCACCCAGCAAGTAAAGCCTCCTCTCTCTCTCGTTATCTCGTTCGTTATTATTGCTCTCTCAGAATTAGCTTCGGGCAGCGTGCGACAGGGACATTTCCAAATGGGGCCATTTTGTGGACTCACGTGCAGAACCTTCCGTACGCGCCGAACCTTTCTTTCCGGACACAGCCATTCTCCCGGAGAGTTGAATTCAGCACAGACCACTTCGAGATGCTGTAGGTATGAATAGACCATAGTTCCCCAGGGTTCCATAATCACGCCTTTCTATTCCCGCCATCATGACCTTGGACAACAACCTTACTCTAAATATTCTACGTAAGGCCGAGGTGGGGGGATATGGAATACTTGCCCAGATCTGGTACTCTAGAGTTTGCGGTGCATTGGTTCCGATATCTAACTTCTACTCTGCAATAGCTACGACGCTCAGTCTGTCATTGGCCTCGTGAGAGCCGCCGAACGCAAGCAGAGTCCTGCTATTATCCAGTTCTTTCCTGTGACCCTTGCCTATGGTGGAGCTCCCTTCCTTCAGTTTTGCCTCAACGCGTGAGCAGCCTAATCAAGGTTTGAGAAGTAGTACGTACTAGACCACACCCTGTGACAGAGCACGTCAGGCATCCGTTCCCATCGCTGTCCATCTCGATCATGCTACTGATCCGGAGCATATCGACCTTGCTCTCAGACTTGCAGAGCAAGGCATACCATTCGACAGTATTATGGTCGATGCAAGCCATGCCGATGTTCGTATCCACTCCTGCGGATACTGTCGTTTATTTTGTCCTCTCTGATACACTCATTACCCATCAGACAGACGAAGAGAACATAGCACTCGCTCGTCCGCACGTCGAGCGAGCAACCAAGTTCGGCGTCGCTGTTGAGGTTGAGCTCGGAAGGCTTGAAGGCGGGGAGGCAGGCTTGCGAATGATTTCTGACGCAAAGCTTACGAACCCAGAAAAGGCACAGACATTCATGACACAGACTGATGCAGCAATTCTCTCACCGAGTATCGGCAATCTACATGGATCGTATCTCAATCCCCCGAACTTTCGTCAAGAGATGTGTGTAATTCCCTATTTACCGCTCCATTAGCTTCTCCCGATTTATGAATCCCTCATTGCCTTGCAGCCTGAAAGATCTTCGCTCGCGGTTCAATGGCAAAGTTCCACTCTGCCTACACGGAACGGACGAACTCCCTGATGAGCTCTTTAAGGAATGCATCGCGAATGGCATAAGCAAAATCAACATCAACAGCTGGGCCCGCGATCCGTATGTGAAGACGCTCTCGGAGGCTCTGCGAAGCAAGCCCTTTCCAGAAGCGGTAGAGGAGAGCACAGAAGTCTTTGCAGCCGTGTGCGAGCGTTTCTTTGATCTCTTTGGGTCAACTGGAAAGGCCTAAAGTAATAGTGAATTGCATGTAACTCCGCGTTGAGAAAATTCTCAGTATTCTCATGTTTTTGCATGGTCATTTCATAGGGGCTAAAAGGTGCCTTCACCGCAAAGGCTGATGTTTTGAAATATGGGTCATTGAGACTAACTTAATTTCAATAGCTTCGTCGGAACAAGGAAGGGGGAGTAGATTTTGCATACGCGGCGTTCGTGATGCCACGATATGAAAGAGGTTGATGGAGATTCTAATGAATGGATCCACGCGACCTCATTGGAAATATGTCCATAAAATGAGATTCCTAACTCCGTCGACCGGAAGTGAGGAATTACACGCGGAACTATGCAACTAGTCGCCAGTGGCGCATGTCCTAAATGCATGAAAATGGAATCCTCAATAAACACACCAGACCAGGGCCGCGTAAAACGACCAATCATGACTTGCACCATAAAAATGGTTCAATAAACCAAGCTTTTGGAAATTTCCGGAAAATTTTAAGACAGTTATGGTGCTCAGTGCTCGAGACGAAGGGTGTTTACTCTACATAAATCAATTGTACCTTGGCTGCTCCGATTTCCGTGGGGCGGAGATATAGGTGAGTCAACACATTGCTACATAATACGGAAACTCGTGTATCCGGTGTAGAAAGAGGATCGGGTATTGTATGGCGGAATGACATGCCTTTGCGCCATTGATGCCCTTCACGGTCGTTGCATTTCGCTTCTCGAATACCTAATGCTTCCTGTGGTCCCGAACGGTGTACAACTGCACTGGTTACCAAGCATTCAAGAAGAGTCAGCGGATCTTGGATTTCTTGCGCAAGAAGGGTGTTTCATAGGAAACAATACGTTCTCCAATACTACTGCTGCGGTCGCGGTAGCAGAGCATATATACATTCCTCTCGATATTCTGTTATAAGATAAGCAGCTATTATTATGGACTTGAATAAGGACTTCTGATACCCTAAGCTCCTTCCCGGCTGAGCCAAATATCGTTCTTTCTGTGCATTGCAGCCCAGTGTAAAATAGGGCATATTATAGAGAAAATATTTTTGCAAGATAGTTAGCAGGCTGTGAAACTACAAGGTCTCCTCGTAAGGGTGTCCGTTAAGTCAAAGCTCTTCAGATACAATTAAAGGAAGTTTGGAGACGTGATATTCCATATGGATAATAATCCTCAACCAGCCAAAGATCTTGTGCTTAGACTGGACCCACAAAGGCCGGAAACTGATGCAAACGCCGGAGGCTATGGGACCCGATCTGAAAATCTGAAATACCGGAGAACTCAGACCTTGTTAGGGGGGCTACACACATGTACCCTATTGGGCGTGAGGATCAAGGATGTTGCCCTTATGAGTTCGGTTCGGTAGTAGAAATGGATCTGACCTGTGCCCACTATAGGAAGTATATCAACCCGTCTTCCCTAGTGTTCCACGTGACCTTGGCAGGAATGATATAAAGTTCCAGTCGACGACGCATTGAGGTTGAACAAAAACGTATGGGTGCTTGAGTGTGTTTCGCCGAGAACACCTTGGATTCATCACTGGCCGCGATAAAGATGTGATCCCGAAGCGGTAAGGATCGTTTGCGGATTTATTTTTGTCCCTGACCTGACAAGTCTAAATAATTTCAATCAGGTCGCCGAAGGACGGACGGGAATATATATAAACCGGCCGCTACTTGAGAGGCACTTTACGTCTTCCCTCCTTCCATCTGGTCAGAGACGTATATCAATATCGACAGGACAACAATGCCTCTAAGTAAGGATGTTGCTGAATGGCGAGACAGCTCAGTCAATCTGGAGTCATATCAGCCTGGAACTGAGGCTGAAAAGAGGCTCGTTCGCAAGATGGACCTGCGTATAGTATGTTTCTGTACTTAACAGTGATCTCTTTCGGGTTGTTGACAATGACTTGCGCCTCAGGTTCCAGCTGTTTGGTTACTTTATACTCTGTCGTATTTGGATCGGGCAAATATTGGCAATGCAAAGAGTGGTGGTATGGAAGAAGACCTGAATCTCAGTTCTACTGTATGTATTCTTTTCACTCCTTGGCAATTGCATTATTCTCAAGTAAATACTACAGCAATATTCCGTCATCCTCCTCGTATTCTTTATTTCTTATGTTATATTCGAGGTGCCCGCGAACATGATACTGTCTCGCGTTCGACCATCCATTTAGTACGTCTCAGTTACGTTGAATTTCGTTGCTGTGTATCCTTACCGGGATTATTTCGAATTTCAACGCAGCTTGTCGGCAATTTGTTTCTTCTGGGGAGTAGTAGCAGCATGCATGGCTGCTGGTAAAAACTGGTCTCAAATTGCTGCAGTGCGATTTTGCCTTGGTATTGTCGAGGCAGCGTTCGCACCTGGTGTCGCATTCTATCTGTCATCATGGTACAAGATGCATGAACTTGCTCGAAGATATTCTGTCTATTACACAGCAACTGCGGTGTCAGGCGCATTTTCTGGATTACTCGCAGGTGTCATCACCGACAATCTAAATGGTGCACGCGGCATCGCTGGTTGGCGTTGGCTTCTGCTCATCGAAGGTGTCGCGAGCTCCGGAGCAGGCTTGTTCGCGTGGATAATTTTACCGGATTGGCCTGCTACGACTCGATGGCTCACTGATGAAGAGAGAAACCTGGCCGTTCAACGTCTTCTACATGATGGCATTGCGTCTTCTGGAGCAGAGGCCGCCCGGCCGAGTCACACGGAGTCTTTGAAAATGTCTTTTCGTGAATGGCGGCTCTACCCACTCATTTTTATGTACATGCTGGCAACCGGGTCGCAGACTATCCAGTACTTCATTCCCAGTAGGTTTCACATTTTTCACATCAATGATAAATTCTACTTGGCTCATCATTTGCCCGGCTGTAGCCTTAGTTGGCCAACTTGGATACAAGGGCTACACGTTGCAGTTCATGACGATTCCGATATACAGTGTCGCTCTTGTTGGTATCCTCGTGTTTTGTTTTATATCGGACTATCGCAGAGAACGTGGGCACTACGTGACAATCACAGCTTGTATTGGCTTCGTTTCGTTTATTATTAGTACGTTTCTTCTCTTCTATACCCTCTTATCACCGTCTCATCATGTCTTTTAGCTGTTGCTGCCACCAACAAGAAAGTACAATACGCATTTCTATGCTTCGGTGTCGGAGGCGTGTATGCCGCTTGTCCGCTCACTCTACTGTGGGTCTCCGCTGTCATCCCGCATCCAGCAGAGAAGCGTGCAGTCGCTATTGCTATAGTGAATTCCCTCGGGAACAGTGCATCCATATATGGCTCGTTCTTGTGGCCCTCAAAAGATGCTCCACGCTACGTGCCCGGGTTTTCGTCCACGACGTACGTATTCCCGCTTCCATTTGATGCGATATATCGGATGAGTCTAACTTCTCCCATACCTCCTCGACCGAATTGGCCCAGTGTGTTTCTCGTTCTTCTTGCGGTGTCCGCTCAGATCTTCCGATATTTCACGATAAAGCATCCTTATGTCTCGCTCAACGCACGCATTGGCAGGAGTGCTACGGCGACGCCCGATACTGAAAAGGCCGCGGACCTCTAGCATTGCCCCTGTCGTCGTTCATGTTGAGAAGGTTCTGGTGTTGTTCTTTTACGTATTCTTCTGGAACGACGAGCCGAATTGTTCGCAAACATATGAGCGCGCAGGATCGCTTTATGATTATTGGACTGAAAATCTGTGGCACTTGACCTGGTTGCCTGTCGGTGCGAAAATGCTCTGGTACGTTGCTTAGGGAAATTACTCGATCGCTATTGGCCCCGGTATATACTTTCATGCTACACTGTATTATATGGTCACGACTTATAATTTTTTCATGATGAAACGGTTTTATGACCAGGAAAGCATCCGAGAGATGATGGATCTGACTGTCTTTCTATTGAACGGGATGAGGGGCTTACCGACCGGCAAATGGCGGCAATACAAAACCCGCGTTGCATAAGCTTCCATTGAGGGAGTTTGACCCGTTCTAACGCTGAGTCAATTGAATTAATGCGATCAGGTGACACTATCATCTGCATAAGGTCTCCGCTTCTCTACTCACAGCCAATCTTAAGCTTTACCACTATATTCTCTGCCCACAAACACGAAACCATGAACAGTGCAGCAACAACCGACGCGTCTCCGGCGAGCTCATCGAGCAGCGGGCATGTTTCTGACCACCGCGCGGCAAGCTTGGGTGCTACTTCAACTGCACAGAAGGACCGCCGCGTCCCATTAGCTTGCCTCCGCTGTCGTGCAAAGCGGGCGCGCTGCTCTGGAGTGCGTCCGCGTTGCAAGGCTTGCGAAACGGCTAATGTTGAATGCCAATGGTACGTGGTCCTTCCTGGATGAATCAGTATTCCGCATGGTAACGCATGTCTGAAATTATGTGTTATAGGCCGGACGGTCGCAAGAGAAAGCGGACCAGGAAAGAAATGGAGGAAGCAGAGCGCCTAGAACGCGAAGCTGCTGTTGCAGCAGCTGTTGAACGAGGACAGCAGACAGCACGACCGCCCCGACGCCCTGCAGCCTATCCTCCCCATCCCGTACAACAAAATGTGCCAAGAAATGCTAGTTGGGTACGCATGACCAACTTAACCTGGATTCTGATACTTGCTCACATTGAAATTTAAGGAATGTAATGGAGGTTCTGGTCATCGAGCACTCACCGCGGTGCCGAGCAATATGACTGCGTACAGTCAATGGCATAATTCTGTGACACCAACCCAACCCTATGTCTGGCCACCGCAAAACTCTGCAAGTTCAGCGAGTCCGGGTGCTTGTACCAACAGCACATTCGGCGACTCCGCATCCGAAATTCTCGCATTCACAGGTTTAGATCCCAATTCAAATGAGCAATTGATGCGTGCGCTGCAGTCACAAACTGCTTTCGTCGATGGAGATCCCGACACCAAAGAGGACCTCGAATTGTATTACTACCGCCTCGTGCGTCTCTTCTGTATTGAGTATCATAAATAATTTGGCACTGATCTTCATGATTAGGCCGGCTCAACGGCGATCCAGTCCGTTCTTTCCTACTCTTTCTCACTTAACTCGGTACTGACGACTCACCTTCTTTAAACCCCCAGCCCAGGAATCAATCGTATCTCATTGAAATTACAACCACGACCCCCGCTCGTTGCCAGCGCACCTGTGCCCAGTGACCAAAATGTGCCTCCTCCATCATCTTGGCCGGAGCAAATCTTCGACGAGAATTGTATGCCCGTTCCGAGCGTTCACCTTCCTCTTCTCGATACGTTTTTCCGAACAATGAGCCAACACTTTCCAAGCATAAGTAAGAAGCGTATGCAGGAGCGTCTTGAAACGGGGACGATGTCCGCATTTTTCATGAATTGTACGCACGTTGCCGCTTCTTTTGTATGCGTGTGCTGTGCTCATCATCGCGTGTAACTAGGTATTTGTGCAATCGCCGCCAGGTGACCATCAATGTCTACTTCTCCCGATATCCGGGGTTCTTCAGGGTCCTTCTAGCTTACACAAATTTTCGAAGGTTTCATCCGGGTACAGAAGGCAGAGCTGCGGAGGTACCAATGCACGAACAATTTTTGCCAGTGATGCAAAGTCTGACTCTTCATACTATTCATTCAGGCTTCTGCTCCATTTATAACAAAGGCACAGGAGCTCGTCGTTCCGCTAGTACATCTCCCTGCACATGACACGGTGACTGGCCTTCTTCTCTTGGCATGGGCTTCTTATGGTCAGGTAACGATTATGTCAAGAGTATTACTATCAACTATTTGACCTTTATCATACTCAGAATTCTGAAGCTGCATTGTGGGTAAGTTTGTCCTATTATTTGCCATGATTGTCAATTGACTTTTGCAACTTAAGCAATACTCGGGGTACATTGCGCAACTGTTTCCACAGATGACTCCTACTAATACCTTTTTGTCTTAGTATGGCCTTCCGCATGTCCGCGGATTTGGGCCTACATGGGGTCGGAGTTTATTGGCGACTTCGAAACTTACGCTGAACTAACTCTTCACGACGTTTTAGGTTTCTGACCTCTATGAATCAAGAGCACATGTTGTCCGAACGAGATTACTCTTTTGGAGCCTGTTCATAACTGTAGGTACATCAATATCTTAAACTGGTAAAGAACTAATGACGGCGTATTCTATCAAAGGATCGGATCGTATCTTTCGCAAGAGGGCGACCTACTGCAATTCCGGAGGACATCATTGAGATTCCACTACCCAAGGATGAGGATTTCTTTCCCGATCCTGCGAGGAATACCGATCCAAACTCGAGACACGAACTTGTCGAGCCCGTCCCATTCCAATATCTTGCAAGGGCAATGGTATTATGCGGACGAATCTCGTCCTTCCTCAATAATCAAAGAGGACGCCCTTGTACATTGGTCGGGATGAGTGAATCAGACCCCAGCGTCCTCAGTGAACTACAAACCCAGCTTGTTCAGTTCTATGCCGGGCTTCCCGAAACAATGAAATGGAGCGTGGAGAATTTCAAGCACCAAGAAGCTCGCGGTCATGGGGTGAGTGAGAGCAAGAAACGAATCTGTTAGATACTCAATTGTGTCGCGTAGGGCACTTTCTTAACACTCCATTTGTGGACAAACGCGGTCATGTCGCTTGTGTATCATCCAGAGTTAATTGAGAAGTCAGGAGTGCAAGCGCCTCTGACCCAGGCTATGCAGAGATCTATCAGACTCTCGCTTTCGAGTGCTCGTAATATTAGCGAGTGTCTAGTATTTGCAGACCTCTTCTCATCGGGTGCCTATGTGAGAGAGAACCTCTTTACGTAAATGATATTCTTAGCTTATGATATACAATAAATAGCTCGGAAGCCCGTTCTCCGTCCAGCCGATTTTTGTTGCGTGGTAATTTGGCTGGCTCCTCTGTATTTCTCGTCAGTTGCTGACTGACTAAACTTTGACAGCCTCGCATTCATTCACGAGATGAAACGTAATGTCCTGGACCAGAACGTACTTAACTCCGACGCACTGTCGACAGTGTCAGATGAGCCACCCTCTGCAGAACAATTCATGTGTTCGATTGCGCGACAAAATCTGGTGATTTTGAGAAAAGCTTTCCAGCGAATGGAGCAGTACTGGTCGGGCATTGCATATGTTTCGGGTGTTCTTGATCACCGCATGGAAGGTCTGTGTGGTGCGACATTCCATTGAAAAATGGATTGCGACCAATGCATTGCTTGGGCTGAGTATTTGCTGACTGAATATTTGTTTTCAGGCCTCAGTGTTCCGCGAATAAATTCATTCGCCAAAACTATTCAGACATTCATATCTCTGCCCGATCAGGGACTTCTTCGTCGATATACAGGTAATATTATTTTACAACCATCATCTAATTTACTTTTGTGGCGAGCTAACTCTTTGTGCTTGATCAGGCAAGAACCTACCCTATAATACTGCTCCAGCTACAGATACGTCTTTGCAAGCGTCTATCGAACAGGATGAACTCAACGAAATAGAGCGAGCAGCAAGTAAGCATTATTATTTCAGTAGTTTTTCACCTATTTTTATGTTTAATCATGTAGATTCCTTGTCCATGGAGCAATTGTTCTCACAATACAGAATCCGAGAGCTAATGGTGGAACCAGCGGATGACTATGATATTGAAAGACTGCTTGGTGCTGGAGCTTTACCCAGTGACGGCCATCATATCAGGCATACTATCGGCACTGCTGGCTTGCATATGCAATGAATACAATGTGTCGAGCTTTTTGCAAATATGCTAACCAAAAATACTGACGCGGAAGAGAGGCGGTCGACGTTAGTCCGGAGTACCAAACTGCTTTGTTATTATCCTATGCCACAATACTTTTTGTACTGTACAATAGTTATGTAGTCCATGTAGTCTAATATTGACTTGCTCTGATCTTTGACAGTATCCGATGGTGTGTTTAAAACTAAAAGCTGGAGGATGTAAACGGATGTGCAGGTCAAAAATGGCTGCTAGATGCTATTTGTACTTGGTATATTGACTTCTTCCTCCTGGTCATTCGACTTCTGTATTTTGCACTCAAATCGACACCCTGCCCTCCCAAACATTAATCACTACGAACTAGGGGGGATCTGTTGGTGATTTGTGTTCTGTGTTCAACCGAAAACAGCCAATATTATTGTCTACAACAAGGTATGTAAACCGAGACAGACATCATACTTCTCAGAAGGCAAGCTTTGGAGGCTGTTTAAATCAACAGCACTTGTTGTTATGTCTCGCTCAAGCAGTCATCTCGATTTCTCTGAGTCGAATTCAACTAGTGCCATTTTCATCCAAGAATTTGTCGATCTGGTCATCCGGAACGAAGCTCCAGCGCTGGTTGGTCACATTAGTGTCGATGGTTTCAACGGTCAATTGACCTTGTGAATCATCGTCGGTCTAATAAATTTCATCAATTAATCAATAAGTGAACTAGGAAGGTGATGTAAATTTTACTAACCGTGCCATTGATTAGTGTTATCGCGTTATTACCGTCGATAATCCTTAATGTTGATATCAAGTATATAAGCTATGCATTCGGTATATGCGTACATAAAAAGAAGAAAAAATTCCTACATAAATTGTAGGCAAGCGTTCGGAACGGGCTGCAGAGTCCATGCTTGACTAGTCTTGCCATGAACAATTCTTCCATTCTGGGATAGCGGTTGAGAATAAGACAGACTTTCACAGCGAGAGCTTAACACTTACGGCGTTGACGGCGTAGCCGCCTGCAGGCGGGTCGTTCTCGATAGTTTGTATAACGCGCATTGTGACCTGGTCACTCGAATTGCCTACAGGTTCCACAACCCACTAGGGTTGGAAGTCAGAGCAGTGTCCATACCCGAGTTTCAAACATGAGATACCTGTTGGTTTAGTGGCGATTGCGTGTGAGGATGTGCGATCCAGCCAATAATGGGATTGTCCTCCGTACTCAACCACAAGAAATCGTCGAAAACCCGCCTGTATTGAACGTTGTAAATGAAGTATGTTCCATTAGGAGGATAAGTCTTTGGTGGGATGACTTGTGCCCTAGCTAAGAGGGCGGAGAATATCACGAGCGAAAGAGAATAGAGGGACTTCATTATGCTTGTGTCCTGCTCGAACGATGTGGGGATGAAGATACTGGTGATGCTAACGTCCTTTCGCGCTTCAAAGGGATGAACAAAAACAGAGTCAGTTCGAAACTTCCCCACAAGCTGACCTTAAGTTTTAACAGTGGATGATCACCCCCATATTACTCGTAGCGCCGTGTCAAAGCATTTCCCGAATACTTGTATTCTTCGGCTCCTGGGGATGCGACTAAGCGCATTTCGGTGTCGTATCGATGCAATCTTTAGAAAGGTCTGCAGCGCATGATCCAGGGACAAATTGGCACATTAAACAGCCCATCTGAGCAAAGGCTGAAGCTTTTCAGCGCTCGACGCGTGGAGTATCAGCCCTTCTGTGATAGAGATCTTCGAGACGTGAATGGAACCGAACATCGATGCTTTTCTACGGCAAATTTTTCTGGTTCCCAGATGATTCGGATATGCCCTAGAAGAGAGCTGTTCAGCAGAAGCGCTGGTGCCGGCATCCTCTGCCTAGAGGAAGTTGGAGCAACCCGTTGAAGATCCTAGTGAACCATTGCTGAACCTTAAAGCTTGTCATAAATTACGGGCAGACAAGGTAGTGCTGTACCTCACTGTGGAGAGAGGGAATTGAAATAGAAGGTCACAGGGATAATCAGCAAGGTTACCCTTCGCCGATGCTCTTGACTGAGCTTTATTGTATGTGATTTGTTGGTGCAGTTGAACCTGATCTTGGTTCATCTTCTGTGACGATTTCTGACAGTTTGCAAGCAGAACAGGCAGCCTGATGCTGTTCCTACTGTACTGTGCCTCATACCACATGTTTCTCATAGCTGATGTTCTTGACTGTGCTTTAAGCAGCGCATTTGGCCGGTTTTGCACACTATGACCACTGGCATGACACCTTCCAAGGACTGACCTTCGATAAAGACTAACGTGAGAGGGGTGAATTCTCAACAGTGCCAAGTAAATACTCATTTCCGAAAGTCCAGCCTGTAAGAACTTGGATTATATGAGGTCGTAAGCAGATTGTGAAAAAAAAAGGAAGTTTAGAGCTTAGATTGTTGTAGTTAGGTGCAAGGTTTGTCGTAACGCGTTTGGGAAAGAAATCTCCAGTTTGATTGGTAAGCAAACAAACTGTAGCTGCGGTGCTGGAGAGTCAAAACCAAACATGGTGCGAAGATTCAAATTCTGTTCAAGCTTGTTTACCGCTACTCAGGTCCTCTAACCGTTACAAGAACTCGATCAATGCGCATATACTAAGTATTTAAGTTGATAGAATTCTGAATAACGCTTTAAACTTCGCCAAACACATAGCATCAACAGCTAAGTTTAACTCTCACGAACACCGATTACCACGTCTCGTGGGCGGGACGAAGGTCTAGCTCCCATGTCCAAGCGGAGCGATCTTGGTTAGTAAGATAAAGGTAAGACTAAATACGGAGAAGATGAGTTCAGATCACTTTATACAACAATTCTTAGAAAACAATAGGCTTACTTTCGCAATACTTCCTGGATTAAGGCGAGCGTCCTCATTTGCCTCCCAGGACGTGTCTTCACGCCACTCGCGCGAACGATCCGTCAAAATTACTATAGTTATGTTTAGAACTTAACACGGGCAATCGTTACGAATTAGAAAAGCCCACCTCCATCAATAACGGACTATTAATCGAAGAAAAATTCATGATCAGAAAATGTCATTGATGCTCTTGTGGACTTACATGTGCAACCTGAAATTCAAGGGGCATAAATGAATGATCAAGATTACTGGTCAGAGGGGACTCACATGTATATTATCCTTCCCGAATTCCTTATTCAAGCTTTGAGACAAGGCACGAGTGCCAAATTTACCCGCCGCAAAGATACTTGTGGTGGAATTACCCCTTAATGCGGCAGTAGCTCCTTGGAAGATCAGCGTTCCACGTTTCCCCGCTTCATTAATGTCGTTCTTTTTGAATTTATTAATGACCAGGCGCGAGAACGCGAACGATGCGCGGACAGTCGTGTCGAGCATTTCTCTAACTTCTTCGTCTGTGACATGGAGAAAGGGCTTCCAAATGCCGTGCCCCACATTCCAGAGGGCGCTGCGTAACTGCGACTCCGGCCATCGAGAAGCAATGGAGTTGAAAGCGGAATTTAAAGAGGCAGGATCATATGCATCAATAGGGAACGGTGCGGCCTGGAAAATGCTTAATACTCGTGAAGAATTTTTAAACGGACTGTGATTACCTCTCCACCAGCGGCATTAATCTCATCTGACGTCTTTTTCAGATGGTCTGCGTTTCTGGCAATAAGGGCTACATTGTATCCCTCTTTGGCGAATAATTTCCTGCCGATAGTTAGTATATCCAGACTATTCATGATAAAAATACACACGCGGCTGCAGCACCGGTTCCTACACGGGAGGACAGGAGTTAATAAAGGACGTATGAGTAGTTGTATAAGAAGTGATACCTGCTCCACTTCCGACACCAGCGACAACAAAAATAGGACGGGCAGTGTTCGACACCATATTAAAGCACCTCCTGTGTTGACATGGACTAATTGGAAAGCAATTTCTGCGAGGATACTTGGTCAAGTGAGAAATAGAGGATGGTGAACGAGAGGGGTTAAGTAGCGATCTAGTGCCCAGGAGCAAAGCTGTCGTCATTTGTGATGATGATGAGTTCTGTAGCTTGTTCTCTGAGACAAATCCGCAACCTGACCGCAAGCATCGTCGACGTTCAAGGGCTACTTATATTGTTCGTTTGTGTCCACCCAATGGCGAATAGCCGATTCGGAGCTCAGGAACAAACAGGTTGAAACACGCGATCCAAAATGTGTCTCATAAAGATGAATTATCAATGCTTACAAATAAATGGCGGTGATGTAGACCGTTAACTTCAGACACTGCGTTCCCCTCTCAACATCTCTTGCTTTCTTCCTGCCATCTCCCCCCTCTCTCTCATGACTAGCTTCCAAGTAAATTTATCGGCACACGAACACTCACTCAGAATGCACTGGAGATCGGTTTGCCTGTGCTTGTTTCAGCATGATACTGGTGGCAATGAAATCAATTTCCGGTTATATGAAATATCAAGTCTATCGGTGCTGTTAATTACAAGCGTATTGAAAATCCTGAATAGTGGTCCTTCGCTGGCTGGCAAAGAAGACTTGGTCAAAAGCTAACGTTTTTCCGTAGTGTATGTACATGTATAACACTACATATACTGAATGAAACTGGCTTCTGTGTGAAGTACCAAATTAACTGCTTGTGATTATCTTCGTAAATAAGCCAACTTGAAGGAGCGCGCATATTGCTGTACAGTATTTTTGTCAATCGAAATGGTTCCGGAAAAGGCAATTCTAGATTTTGTGTTTATTGAGGCACGTGACTCAAAATTATTCCGTGGGCGCTAACGCGTCCTTGGTCACTTGCGAAGCTGCTTCTCATTGTCAGGCGGTGCCGCAGGTGACTTGACTCCTGCATTCATGAACGTCCCTTCATCGTCAACAAAGCGACTTTGGGAACAAGCAACAAGCCTCGAAGACTCGTCCGAACCGACCTCATCCTCCCCGAACCAGGTTCCAACAACAAAAGCGATACGCCTCACGAAAACTACCTCTAGCACAGCGCCGTTGTTCTGTTCTCTTCCACCAACTTGCCACCCACCACACAATACCCCAACTGCCCTTGCGGACTCGAATGAACTTGAAGTGCATTATGCGAAGTACCACGCCCATGTGTGCGAGGAGCGAGGCTGCGCAGCCGTGTTCCCTAATATAAGGCTATTAGAACTAGTAAGTTCAACCGACCTAATTGTTTACCTAGATACCCCTGACTTATGAAATCTCGCCTGACATTTTACTACATAGCATCAGACCGAATGTCACAATCCATTAGCACTCATAAAGAAAGAACGTGGCGAGAAAATAGTACGCTTCCAAACAAGCCTTCTCCCCTTATACCCCTAACTCACAGTTTATTTGCCTTGCGTCATATCGCAGTTCGCATGTCATCTTGAAACGTGTCCACGGAAATTCTTAGACCCGAAGAAGCGAAGACTACACCTCATTCAAGCTCATGGCTTTCCGAAAGAGTACTTTTTTGCTGTGACGAATAAAGGTGTTGGTGGACTGTTAAAGAAATGGGGTGAGGGTGCAAGCATGATCCGCGGTTCTTGGAAAGCAAGAGATGGTCAACTTGCTGAGAATGTAGATGACGCAATGAACACAGAAGACATCGGGTATTCGGATAACGACAATGACGATACGGACGAAGAAATATTGTCAACAGGAACTGTCAAAGACATTTCTACTATTGAGATGCAATCAAGTGAAATGCAACATACAGCACAAAGAAGCCAAATACCGGACAATGCGGATCTCCACAGACAAGTGACTGCGCCGGGCGCCGTGCAAGCTCCTGATGACGAATTGAATGGGCTAACGAATTCAATGAGCTCCCTTTCACTCGTTCCTTCCAGTATACGGTTTGGCCGTGGGGCAAAGGGAGGACAATTTTCACGACAGTCAAAGTCATTTTCCAATAGGGCAAGACCTGGACAAAAATTGTCAGTATCTTAATGAGACGAATGTTGGAGAATCTGCTCACCAATATTGTATTGTAGTGTCCGTGCTCCTTTAGTTGACACGAAGTCTATACTTGACGGATCGCCGGCCAGCCCAGAATCTGACGCAAATCCGGCCAGTCCAGACGTCAGCATTAATATTGATGGTGCACTCGAGGCTCTTAGATTTGAGGCACCTTCTAATACCACCACAATGTCCCTTAATCATAACGGCTCCGGTAATGTTTCTCCGAATAGTCGAGGAAGAGGGAGAGGTGCAAGGCAAGGCAGGAGCCGAGGCAGAGGATATGGTGCATACCGAAGTAGGGGCTGAGCTTCGGTGCAAGGGATTAAACGACTTTCCGAAGTAAAGGCTGAATTATTTGCAATGAGTTGTCCTCAGATGTAGGTTGGATGTGTGGCTCTGAGTTGATTGTATTGTGGCTGCTTTGTCATTTGCTTATTGCTGTTTCATGTTGTATCAAGATTGCGTAGCTGTGCATGACAATTGTAAACTTTCACCATAGTTGTGGGGAGTTGACGAGATGATAAAATAGATCCGTTTCAATCTAATCTATTGCATCTGTATGTATGGTGATGATAGCAATGGGCGCCTGACCCCATCTAGCGGGCTTCGAACTTTCAGCCGGTTCCGACGTGCAATCAAAGGCTTCGTCCGACTCGGTAATGAGCCAAATTTGCAAGAAATTTCCCATACCTTGACGACGAGCCATTTTCCCATCAGCAAATATGGCATCAATAAGCTTCTCCGAACGGAGCTGCGGACGAGAAGACGAGGTATTCTAGCCTTATGAATCATATGATCTGCATATGACATCTCTTCCAGACACCCCACTACCTGCTTGCTGGCAAAACTGAACTCCGTGCTAAACCTGCGATAATTCCGCTGTACCTTCGAGCTTTTGCATAAATATGCAACAAGGTAAACTACGCTACGTAGCCTATTGTAAGGTCCAATTGCAACAATGGCGCTAAAGTCTCCTCTTCTCCTCACAGTATTTCTGGGCGTAGCACTCTCGTCTGCGATCGGTGCGAATATGCAGTTGTCTAGTTGCTTAGTTCCTTGTGTTTTTGACGTACATATGAACGAAAATAGGACAAGTCGTGCAGGTCTCGACCGAGCCTGCCCAGGTGATGAATGGCATCGGCGCGAGCGGCGCTTGGTGGCCGAACGACCTGATTAGCTTTCCGGAAAACGTTCGAGAACAGGTCGCGACTCTCCTATTTGACTCGACACCATCCGCTGCAGGAGGGGCAGCGCTGTCTTCTTATCGGTATAACGTCGGTGGAGGCGGAGTCTTCGTTGGAAACCCAACGTATGTGCTCACTTTGCTTCCCTGATGCTTCGGAGACGACCAACGTGCATACTTATTAGACGTGCCCCTGAGACGTTCTACGTATCACCTGGTGTTTACAACTGGTCGGCAGATGCCGCTGGGCAGTATTTCCTTAAGCAGGCCGCTAGCCATAACGTACCTGTGCTCACAGCATTTGTCAATTCTGCACCGCCAGCGTTCACGAGCAACAGCAGGAGCTGCGGAGGGTCCCTCGTGGACGATCAGATATCTGCATATGCACAGTATTTAGCGGACGTTATTTCCCATTTCAAGGATGAAGACGTCATTTTCACCCATGTTTCGCCTATGAATGAACCTGATAACGTAATGTCGTCCTCTCCGCTCAATACTTATTAGACTAACTGGAAATTACTCAGAGCTTTGGCAATGGTGACTCATTATGTGGCCAGGAAGGGATGATAGTTACCCCACAGCAGCGCGCATCCGTCGTGACCGCGCTTCGTTCCGCACTCGACAATGCAGGCCTTACTTCAGTCGCGATCATGTCCGACGAATCGAGTGCGACAAGTAACTTTATATCCGAAGCCAACACCTGGATTCCGGAGGCAAAATCAAGCTTGGGAGTGGTCAGCCATCACCAGTATGGCTTCGCGGACGACTCAACCGTCGAGCAGATGGGCCAATTGGGTAGGAACTTGTCTGGAAAAGAGACATGGTTCACAGAAATTTGCTGTTTCGCTGCCGCAAATAGAGCAGATTCTAGTGACCCAGCTGCACAGCTCACCTACTCTCAGGGATTTGAGTAAGTCCACTTGTTGATTGTAAATGATTCGCATTGACTAGTATCATAGTCCAACTATGATTGGTGCTCTGCAGCTTGGGCAATTGATCTTCCAGAGTTTCACGAAGACGTGCGTATGCTCCATTGCCGCATTCCGGAGATCATCTAAACGCAACATTCTTCAATCAGACTTGACGCACATTTCGACTTCTGGACCGCATTATCAAGTGGGATCGGGTGCTCTCCACAGCAGAATTTGACCTGCCAGACCACGGTTAATGGAAACGGTTGGAATGATGGTCTTGTAAGAATGCGATTCTTGTTATATCTCCGTTTCTTCTGACAGTATTACCCCACAGATTTATTACGACCCCAGTTTCGCCTCGACAGGCGACATTTCACTGTACCTGACAAAACGGTATTATGTTTTCAAGCACTTCGCACGTTTCGTCTTCATGGGTGCTGCACGGTTCGATGTATCTGGCCTCCAGGATAACATATTCGGACTCGTCTTCAAATCTGACAGCGACCAGCAGACAGAATTCGGATCTGCAAAGACATCGCTCATCCTAATGAATATGGGCTCGACTACGGTGAATGTCGATTTCTCTCAGGCGGATCTTGGTTCTCCGATTGGAGGCGTCCTTACGGATTGGGAGTATGATTGGCAGGAGGGCTCGCTTGGGAACTCGGTCGCTCTTCGTGCCTTGAGCATCATCTCGATCCTGTTCGAATGAGTGCATATATCAGACGTCCACAGTCGATGATAGAAGAACCTCTATGGCTCTTGAGTGTATTGTAAAATAGTGACTGTACTGCAATCTATGGGAGGTTTCCGTGATGGGTAATTGGCAGGTGTGTATATGCTATCAAAGACCAGTTCAGGAGAGTAGATGGACGACAGTTTCGAACACGCCGAATGTTGCCATATTTACAGGTATTGCTCTGTTCTCGAATGCTTAATAGTATGCCTCAGTAGTTTGTTACTAAATTGCCTCACCGCAAAAGCGTTGGCGAAAGCCCACGGAAGAAAACTCCTAGACCTTCGGAACGATATGAATTTATAATAGTTGAAACAGTATTTCGATATGGATGACTAGAAGGACTCGTAAAGCGATCAACGCTCTGTACCCGTGTCTTAACGACATCGAAGGCGAAAGTAACGAGCCATCCATTCACACCAGCGAGGGCACCTGCGAAAAGAAGCACGGGCCAGGACAGTGAATCCATCTCGTTCTCTACTTCTGCGAGTAGAGACAAATGATCTGTGAGATGCGAATCTTCTAACTTAGGAGGACCGCGACTCGAGAAGTATCGACAGGTCGCTTCGTACTGAATTTAGGAGATTCACGGATGAGAGGAGTGTTTCATAGAGCAGTTCATAATATTGTTAGTCCCTTAGTATGGCGATATTGGCTACTCACCGTTGCAAAGTATGCGCCATAGCCTACATCGCGTAAAGCCGTTGGAACAAGACCTCTGTAAAGACCACGAACTCCTGTTCGTCGGAAAAGGTCGGCAGCGACCATGCGTGTCGACGATTGACGATCAACAATATTCTGCTGACGAATCTTGATCAGCTCGATTGGGCAAGTTATTAACCTAAGCAATAGCGTACGAGCATTGTCGTAATGAGAATGGTCGTTCATGCTTCGCCAATATGACAAGAATGTATGCGAACGCACGAGGCAGTGATTCCGCTTCCTATGCCTGCGAAACCTATTTGTGTTATCGTCGGCACGTCGTCGGCATGAGCAAGTTGGAGACGCATGAAGAAACGATAGCTTGCAAAGACAAGTCCGTTCAGTGGGGCACATGATATCTATCGAATCCCGGCTACCATCAGCTATCCTGCGCAGCAGCATGGGAGAGACTGTTCATGCAGACCATAGGGGAGGCGATGCCCTTGTAAAGGCCCTTGAAATGCTCCTCCCGAACAATGGTAGAAAATGCATGGAATGTCGAACGATACTTGGATGAAATTCCTGGGCTCTGGAGCCGTACTTTGACTATACAAGCATTTTGCCGAGATTTAGGACCGAAATAAGCAGTGGTTTATTCACAAGACGTCGGCTACCGACCGGTATCAAATGGATATGCGATGGTTAAACCAGCGACACCTGGATACCAAAAGCTTCCCATTAGCGCCAAACTTACCAAAGTTGAGAGCAGAGAAATAAACACCAGCTACAGTTCCCGCGATGAAATCTACTGTCGGGTCTAGTTCTGCGTGAGTGTGGGTGTGGAGTCCATTCAGGTTCAATTCATGTCGAATAAACTTCGATGGATGCACTAACCTTTCTTTGACTTTACAGTACTATCGTCCATGTCTAAATCATTAGGCGGGATGCATGTACTGTAGTTGATGGTGTCAGCATACGCAGAGGCGTTTTATGAATCAAGACGTCGAAAGCCCGAATATGCAAGTCGGGGTGGCGATGCACACCTCGTACCCGATTAGGTCGTCAGGAGATCGCCCGCCAGTTATTATTCTACTTGAACCACGACCTAGAGAGCCAAGATTTTTCAAAGAATCCCCGCTAGCTCCTCATTACCATCGCAAACCTCTCCTCGTGACTATTAGTATCCATCAGCCGGAAAATGCGGGCTTCTGGCTCATATTCTCTCGTGAGAGGAAAAGGCTCTCTCTGTGAATCGAATGACTCCTGCCGCCCTGCAGTGTGAAAACGGACCTCATCCCATTCGTCTGCTTAACACTTCTGCGCCGGTATTGGAGTCGCCTCTGAGCTTCTGGTGCTTCTTGCTGGTTTCATGGTAGCAGATTTGTCTCACTGGATGAGTCTTTTTTCGAAAGAGTCTCTACTTCCGCATTTTCATCAATCCCGCGCCCTCCTTGTTCTTATTCTAGCATATGCTCACCGACGTCAGAAGCACAATTGCATCCGTCTATAAAGAGTGCTCCGCAGCATGATGATGTCTTCACATACCCACTGTTTTCCCCATTTCTGTTAGAGTCAACGTTGCAACCATGTTCGCCTTACTCTCGCTCACTGCTCTAGCAGCAGTTTCAGCGGTTGCTGCTCAGAATGTCACTGTATGTCAGACGTTACCAAGTAGAATCAATGCTTCTAATCGCACTTGCCTCTAGCAAATTATGGTGGGCGGCACTGGAAACAATCTGTTCATTTTCACTCCCCCGAATGTTACTGCCGCCGAAGGCGACATTGTTATGTTCACCTGGTCTGGCAAGTAGGTTGCGTTAGTTGCACTTGCTAGTTACGAGAGACTTATGTGTGATAGTCCTGGAAATCACTCTGTAACGCAGAGCTCGTTCAACGCACCCTGTGATCCTCTCGGCAATGGCTTTGACTCGGGTAACATTTTCATCCCTATGGGCGCATCTTCAGGATTCCCAACATGGAACCTGACAATCACCAACGCCTCTCAGCCTCTTTGGTTCTTCTGCAAGCAGCTTGCCCCGCAACCACACTGCGATGTCGGGATGGTGGGCGCGATCAATGCCCCAACCTCCGGACAAATGACGTTTGACGCCTTCCAGGCGGCTGCGATGGCACATCAAGGAAACTCGGGTGTATGTAGTTTCCCTAGCCGTCGATGTCTCCACTTCATTCTCAAGTGCTTTATTACTAGCAATCCGTTGGCTTCTTAGCTGGCCAGGGAGCATCTGCTTCGGCCCTTCCCGGACCTTTATCTGGCAGTATTAGCGGCTTCGGATTGCCCGATCCGACTGCAACCGCTCCATCCGTTGTTTCTTCCGCCGCAGGATCTACTGGAGCCAACCCTGCAGCGACTTCTAGTTCTGCCGACGAGCTGAAAGCAGGAGGGTTTATGACACTACTAGCGGCGATGGTTGGATTCATCTTAGCGTAAAGAAGAGTAGAGTGCTGCTTAAGAGAGTTACTGTTCTTTTTGGCTGTATTTCAGCTGTTTTCCCTTCCTTCAAAATTACGTGAATACGAGTTTCATTTATTTTCTTAAGGTATTCAAAGTGTTCGACGACATGAGGCCGAAAAGTATGATGGAAGATCGTTGTTAACCATATTCATCAGATCTTCAAAGGGATTTGATAGCTCGTTCAGGATAAGATTGACTCTCAGGACTGTGTTGGTTGCTGTGTATGTGAATATTTGTTCGCATCACGTGTGTCCTTGAGCGAGTGCCGCTGTCGGTGGCTCCGAGTCTCTTGTCCACCACCGCCCGACGATGCCTGACGTCCAGCAGCGCTCTTGTTCTCTCCACGACGAGCTCACCTCGTCTCTCTCGGCCATGTCGGTCAATGAACCCAATGCTATCGTCGACCTTGGCGACTCATCCACAATCTACATGCCAATTGTCTCTCCACCGACCCCCGCGCCCTCTCCTCGCCCCATTTCGTCTGTTCTCTCAACAGCTTCGGCGGATGTTGCACACGCCTCGCGCCTTGAATTCTCATCTCTCAAATCATCGGGCCCTACTGCACGCCAACAATATCTCGCCGCGTTACTTGCGGACTGTTCTCCCGCGGAGCTTCTATTCGTCTCTAATACGATAGCACCCCTCCTTAAGCGCGATTTCCTTCGCGACTTGCCAATTGAGCTTAGCCTACACATCCTGGATTACATCGACGATGCACGTACACTTGCACGGGCGAGCCGCGTTTCTCGATTTTGGAACTCACTTATGAGGGATGAGGCAACGTGGAGGCGAATGTGCGTACAGGCGCAGTTTGAAGGCAGGCTGTATCCGAAAAGCGAAGCTAAGGCCTCGAGCAGTGATTCTTCTCCTTCTACCAGCAGCAGCTCCTCTTCTGTACCGTTGTTGGATGGCAGAGCACAGGCAGTCTTGCGAGAGTTGCCTCCTGAGATGCCACACTCCTTTTCACACAGGGACCATTTCATATACTGTTACAAGACGAGTATGTTTATTCCGGTTTCTGGAGAGTCTTCTCTTTCTCATCAATTTCACAGTGACAAATTGGCGTAATAGGGGTCGTTTGCTGAACAAGCACCGGCCTCCGTCAGCTACTCCGGACGGCGGCGTTGTGACGTCCATCGCGCTTGACCATGAATGGATTGTCGTTGGACTTGCTAGCTGTCGCATCCAAGTTTTCTCGGCTCGCTCTGGTGTGCTAAGTCGAACGCTTGTCGGACACGAATTAGGTGTCTGGGCTGTTAATCTTGTCAGTGCCGGTGGGCATTGGGTTGATCCTCCCTTATCGGCGGTTCAGCCCAGATCAAAGCAGGTGCCTGGAGATCCACCTGCGGTTGCGGTAGCTGAGAGCACTGATGTCGGTTCACATGTCTGGCTAAGTGAAGCAAGGAGTAAATTTGGTGGAAGTGCATCCTCAAGTTCAATGGATCTTGGCGAAATGGAGTTCCTTATACCTGACTCTCTTCGAACGGCGATTGGTCTTGACAAGCCACGGTCAGCGAGACGTACAGCTGGCTCTGAGCCTCCAAAACCAAGTGACATATGCTGCGCTTCCGAAGGTTGGGGAAATGCGAATGCTTTGGTTGTGAGTGGAGGGTGTGATAAACAACTTCGTGTGTGGGACGTCAAATCCGGCTACTGCATTTACGTGCTGGAGGGGCATACTTCGACGATCCGTTGTCTACGCGTACTTCACAACCGGCCCATTGCGATCAGTGGTTCACGCGATACGACACTCCGCGTATGGGATGTACAACGTGGCAAGCTTCTTCGGACACTCACGGGCCACGACGAGAGCGTGCGTTGTCTTGACGTTTGCGGAAATCAGGCCGTTAGCGGAAGTTATGATGCGACCTGCCGGGTACGTCACCTTTTATTATCCCAGCGTTAGATAATTCTAAACGGTCTAATAGCTCTGGAATATCGACACTGGGGAATGTTTACATGTTCTCAGAGGTCATCTCCACCAAATTTACTCCGTTGCATATGACTGCAAGTACATTGCATCCGGCGGTTTGGACACGACTGTTCGCGTTTGGAATCCTGTTGATGGGTATGTTCACTTGTCACATATAATCATCCTCGTCTCTAATTATCTCCTCACAGGCAATGTCTCGCTTTACTGCAAGGCCACACTGCCCTCGTCTGCCAGCTCCAGCTGACAGGCTCAACACTAGCAACAGGTGGTTCCGACGGGCGGGTGATTGCATTCACACTTCCCTCCTCACCGAATGAATCCTGGCAAAGCACAAACTCTGCACGGCGAATCGCGGCTCATGATTCGAGTGTGACTGCTTTGCAATTGGATGCACACTGGCTCGTAACAGGTGGAAATGACGGACGAGTGCGATTGTACGATGCACAGAGTGGCACGTACGTGCGTGACCTTACGTCACCTGCCGAAGCAGTGTGGAAGGTTGCGCACAAGTATGATAAATGCGTTGTGATGTGCAAAAGAGCGGGGAAGACGGTGATGGAGATATGGAGTTTTAGACCTAGCGAGGATGACGATTGAGCGGAACACGCGTTGTTCGTCTTTGATTCAGAGGGCATTTTTTTGTTACTTTTATAACATTTTGCTAATTACATACATATAGACTCGACCTGTGTCTGGGGCTTTGTACTTTACTCTTTTTAACTCGGATATTCATCTTTATCATCGACGGAAAGAACAAGTAATCGTTCTAAGGGATTGGATCCACTGTTCCAGCTACAGTTGGAAGAGAGTCAAGATTGCACTTTCTTGTCTCTGTTCCGAGTATGTAAAATGATAAGACCCACAGAGGACGTTTTGACCTTCCAGAGGCTGGCAAAATGTCTCTCAACAATCTTAGTGCCCGATACAGGGATCGAACCTGCGACTTTGGCGTTAACTCAAGATATTAGCACCACACTCTAACCAGCTGAGTTAATCGGGCACGTGCACAGGAAGTGCAGTATTTATAGTCAATTGCAAATGTGTTCCTCACAAATAGTATGCTTTCCTGCCTGCCTGTAACAACAAACCTCCCCTCTTTGCCTAGTGGATTGCCAGCCAGACACAGTTGGCCACTGTCTTTCAACATGTACATAGTATACTACTCTACACTATTAGTACTTTTACTATTATAATTTAAAATTCTCAGATTACTTTTTTACTTTTAAAAAGGTAATAAATTATAACTCTTTCTTTTTAGAACTGTATAAACCACCTTAGGGTTTTTAAGGCCTGATGCCTTTTCTTCTCCCCCTCTCCTGTGTTTTATAATTTAGCTGAATAATTAGTAAACTATGTACTTTTGTCTCTTTCTTTTAATATATATTATTATAATTAGACTATACTAATTAATAATTCTTATTTCCTTTAAGTAATATATATAAACTACCTTTTTTTTCTTTCTCTTTACTGTTACAACTTAGTCAGAAATAACAAACCATTTACTTTATTCTATATTTTTTTCTTTAGTAATATTATTACAACTAGGATTTTTATACAAATATGTAAGCCTACTATACAGCTTACTACAGTTCTGAGGGTTCTGAGAGTTCTGTTCTGGAACTCTCTTGTACAGTCTCAGGCCATACATACAGTTCTAATCCTGAGCCACACATATAGTTTCCTTTTTCACTCATATTATACATTCCTTTAGCCTGAGCCACTTTCCTTTCTTCTCTAGTATATAAAGCTTATGTCTACACCTTTGTTGTGCCAGTTCTTGTTTACTGACTATAACAAAGATACCTTTGTTCTGTCAGTCTTAGTGTGACTTTCAGTCTTTAAGCTTAGTGTTTAGCACTCTACTAGTACTGTTCTAAAATACTATATTAACAATAAAGTTATTTAAATAAAATTATAATTACTTGTTGTAGCCTTTTCAGCTTTTAAACCTTGATTCTTATTAAACTCTCAACCTTTAAATTTGATAACATTTTCTGGCAAAAAATATTTTGAATTTAAAGTTTGGCAAAATTTAAATATGTACATTGCAATTATAATAAAACATACAAATAGAACTACTATAAATACTATTCAATACTAATAAGTTAGTGCTTCTGTTTTTCAAGCCTTACATATTGCAGGCTCGTAATTAGTAATTGAATATTCGAAACAGCCACATGACCCATTCAAATATCTGACTCTTCTGCTGTTCCTTCTGGACTGGCGTATCAGCAATACGATAGATAATCTTTTCTCCGCTGACCTACATTCAAAGAAGGAAATGAATTAATTATTTCCCTTCTGAGATGAATACAGGCCAAATACCTTTCCCTCTCGCATGTAATCGAGTCCGTCATTCGCACTTTCGAGCCCTTTTGGCATGACTTTGATAGGTCCCGGTTTGAGTTTACCGTTCGAAAGCACCGTGGTGAGTATTTCTGTTGCTTGTGGCCCGAATTCGTATTGCGCAATATCAAGAGGCATCTGAATTGGTATCTCAGTGTCCTAAGGAAGCTGCTAAGTGCTTCCGTATAAACCGGAATGGTTGGAACATAGATCGCACTTTACCGAGGAGGTGATATCCGAGAATAAGATTTGTCTCGACGTTCAGTCTAGAGCTTTTATATGGCAGTAATGTTGTTAGGACGCCTCCTTGGTCGCCCATAGCTTGAATAACCTGTGAAGGCGTTTCGCCCTCGGAGATACAGTCTACTGCATGTGCAAGTTTGCCGCTAGTCGCTCCTCGGATTTGTTCGGGTACCTCGGGGTCGGCGTACGAGAACACTAGATCAGCTCCAAGTGACTGGAGAAGAGGAAAGTTCCGGGGTGAAGAAGTTGCTATGACACGTAGCCCACTGAGGTGCGCCAGTTGCACAACATATTGGCCAACAGAGGACGAACCACCCCAGACAAGGATATCAATTGGTTCCTCAGCAGGATGAATTGGTGAAGGAAGTGATTGAGCATAGTAAAGGGCGAGACAAGCGGTATATCCTGCGATGCCAAGTTGAGCAGCTTGCTCAAACGACCAGGAATCCGGTAGGGGAAGGAGCAGGGCAGCAGGCGTAACAACGTATTCGGCAAATGCACCATTTGGGTACGCCGCTGGAAATTCAGCAAAACGTATATATACAGTGAGTTAAATGCGTCCAGGGACATACGCAATAATGAAACGAGCTCAGCTTACCGCCATGGACTATACCGGCGACGCGGTCTCCGACTTTGTGAGAGTCCAAAGGTATCTCCGAGCCAAGTTCTTCGATTATCCCTGCAAAATCACATCCCACTACATTCCCCGTTGTAGGGACAAATGTTACTGATTTCCCTGTTGAAAGTTGAGATTGTCAAATTGGACGCAGTGCCCAAAGGAGAACGAGTGGAGTTACTTACAGTCAGTAGGATTGCTTGCAGCAGCCACCACTTTGACCAGTGCTTCTGTGGGTCCCAATTTCGCTCCCGGCGTGTCGATCTCGCGGATCTCGACCTTCCCGCCTGCACCGCAGGTCACGGCCGCTGTCATCTTCATGGGCGCCATAGGAAGAAGTACTTTGTGAGACAGGACAGGTTCTTGCGAATATTGCCCGGTGTGCCGGGGACAGTGAGCAAGCTCGTGAGAAGGCTAAGCACACTTGATAAGGTTGATGGTGCTTATAAGTCCTTGGTATTCCTATTCTCATGACATGGATTCGTTCAGGCAACTCGGAACAGTTACAATTGAATGCGCTTATCAAGGGTCACAGCTGTTGCAGACGGCGGAGGTAAGTTTATGCATTATTGGAGCTAAGTGGCGTGCAAGGGGGTATTCCATTGAAACCTGGTTGCTCAGAGGACCGAGAGGCACAAGCCCGAAGACTACAGTATTGATATGAATAATAGGCCTGATGACAAATTAGATCTGAGTATGACCATTTAATACTATCCCGACTCGGCGTTTTGTCTGCCGAACAAAGGTTTGACGCTGAAGAGATTATACCCAAGAGATGATGGGAAGAGTAAACCTAAAATAAAGCAGTAACCGAGAGTCTATAATTCGCGAACACTTAGATAGAGACTAATCGTGCCATTGGAGCTGTGTGTCCACAGCGATTTTCCTTTTGATCCTTACGGACGACGGGTCTCAACGAGTCTGGTAATTAATAGACCGCACCCAATCATTTCCCGCCTGTCAACGACTCAACGACACAGTGATCAACTCACGTCGAATTACGTCGGGCGATCTGGATTGCCGGCAGTCATACTCACTCCGAACCCGCTTCTAGTGTGTACCTTTGAGCGCCGACTTTGAATTGTGCTTTTGAATGTCAATTTATCTGTTTCTCTCATGAATGGAGAAATGCGCGCATGCGAGGCGCGTATCTACACGGCTGCTGACTTTTTGTGTTTGAGGTCGCCTGCTTCACACACTCTAGCAGGTGACACGTGTCCATGTCCTTTTGAAAGCTGCTCTTTGAGTGTTCCTTTCGGGGCGATGTGAGCCTCGTTTCTTGGTGAGAAGCGGATTTTGCAGCGGTTCTTGTGCCTCGGGGTCAACCGCCAGTGCATTGAGGGTTGCGAACCGACGACAAATGAAAAATGGAACGTCGTCCCCGTCTGACCACTCTGGATGGGTCAAACAAGACGTCCGATCACAGATTAACCGTGGCTGTGATCGGTCGTAGTCAGGGGTTGAGTGCGACCTAGGCCCTTGCCGATGATGAAACAAATTTCCGATTCATGTCGAGTCTGCAAATAGACGTATGAGGAAAATATAGAAATAAAATAAAAAATCTCAACACTCAACACAAAATAGCAAGAGCTGAGATGTGCGCTGAGCAACTCCAGCAAGACGTTGCTCAACGTAAATAGACGTAGAGAAGGGAGGAGCCGATGCTGTGCAACCTCCCTTTGGCACTTGTATTTTCTGCAAAGTGAAAAAATATCAGAGAGAAGAATAAACTAAAGAGTGCCACCGGACCGACAACTACGCGATCATATGCACTTCCCCGGTTGATATTACCCGATAAAATCACCCCGCCTCTCTCTCCACAATATATAGAGAGCAGAAGAACAAGAGACAAAGTTGAGACAACAAACAAATTGTGTAGATTCACCCGTAACCTGAAGGTTGAAGTTGGATCAGTAATCGTTTCGAAAAAGACATGACGAGAGAAACGAGACTGACTTGAAGCGGCAATCCGACGTTGCAAACACGCGTCTGCACCAACAACCAGCAAGATAGACGAGAAAAATACAGTGGGGAATTGGAAGAAGACGCAATCGTGGAAGAGGGATGAGTGGCGGATATGTAGTCAAGTATCAAGGTGAAGAGAACGCAGAAGAAGACGCTGTGGTCGAAGCGAGAGAACTCTAAAAATAGCTGATCACTGGGGAGAGTGAGAAAACAGAAGAAATGTGCCAACGAATCATATGCCAGCACAAAAGTCCTTTTACGAAGGCTTGCCAATGCCCAGGCTTTCGACGTTCGTCAGCTATGAAGATGAAAGAATAAGACAAAAGACAGCAGACAAACCTTTTCAGCCGCCCAACAGTCAAAAGCACTTTATCTGCACCAAGAAACTATCCAATAGATAAAAGCGAACACCAAAACAGCAGAATGAGTTCACAGACTGATGACAGTGAGCATGGGGGTTACGGGAGAGGGAAGGAGTTACAGAAAAAACAAAGTCGAGAGGCCTGTTTGCCATTTTGACATAAAGGTTGTTAGTTACGGGTATGATTAGGATAAGAAGGAAGAAAAAGAAACGAACCTAGGCCACGTCAGCAAGGAATTCTTGAAGGTTGTCCAAATACAAATTGGCACCAGGGAACTCCTCCTTGACGAGATCCCAGATCCATTCGAAAAGAGTGGCGAAGGTGATGTCGGAGCCATCCATTCCCTTGTTCGTCCCGCCAGTGAGCAATGCAACAAACTCGCCGTGGGCAGAGACGATGAGAGATCCAGAATCACCTCCTTTGGAGAAGGTGCCGGAGTCGTGCTCGTGAGAAAGGATGGGCACCTCGAGCGACTCCACATTGCCGGTGATGAAGTACTTGCGGACGAAAGACATAAACCTGGTGAGCGTGCCGACGGTGGTGTTGGTAGTGAAGCCGCGCTTGAGAACGCGACGAATGCGATCGCCTTGGAGGTTCAAGGTGTTGGGGTTGTTGACCTGATCGGCGGTGAGCATGCCTCTGAGAGTAAGAAGACCGTCGTCGGGGTACTTGAACTCGGATGGGACGTCGATACGTTCGTACATCAAGGCTTTGAGCTTCGAAGGGGACAACTCCGGACCTGGAAGAGAGACGTACATTTCAGATCAGCAGCATTCAATGAAAATAGACCAGCACTGCACCAAGGCTCAGAACGTTGCCGATCATGTGCTTAAACTTCTCCTTGTACAGCTCGATGACGCATAGGTCGCGGGTATAGCGGTGAGGAGCAACACCGGCACCAATGGGGGGAGCCCAGCGGACGAACCCAACGACTCGGTCCTTGGACTTGCTCCACCTCTTCTTGATGTCGACAAAGAACTTCTTGAGATTGTCGATCTTGGTGTGCGCCTTGGCAAGCTCGACCTCGTTCTCGTCCAGCTTGATCTGCGACTCTTGGACGTTGATTCCATCCTGCACCCTAGTTTTGAGTGTGTTGATTTTCTCCTCGAGATATTCGACCGAGTCAATGTGCGTGCCAATAAGGGCCTGGATGGAGGCCAGGTAGTTTGTGAACGCAGGCGCGCCCATCACAAGGACCTCCTTCTTGGGTGCAGATTCTGACGAGGGGCTAGAGTCAGAAAAGCTCTTGGATTCTCAAGGGTGTCAAGTAAGAACATACTGTGGTACCTATATGACTCGTTGTCCCCGTTGAGCAAGAAGACGTTGTGACGGACAGTGATGGCATAGAGCTTGTTGCCGACACAGAAGTAGGGACCAAGAGTGCCCTGCATAGTAGTCTTACGACCAGCAATGGGAAGACTAAGGGGAACAGAGACGTTGTCGATGACGTCCTTAAGAGGGCCACCGTCTTCAACGGGGCGGAAAAGGGCTGGACCATGACTGGGCAAGGTCTTGTAGACTGACTCACGATAGGCGATGTCGACGTTCTGGACCTGGAGCAAGTCGAGGAAGGCACGGATGTCCTTGGATGACTCGTGCGCAACGGCACCAGTGAGAGTCTCAGGCAAGACACCAATCCAGATGGTAGGGTTGGTGTAGTGACGTTCTCCGTCCTCGACGGGCTGGATGGGTGGGAAATCATCGTAGGTGACGTCTTCCTCTTCCCTGGCATCGTCGTCGTCGTCCTCCTCCTCAATCTCCTGGTCTGCCTTCTTGTTGAGCCACGTGAAACGAACGAAATCGACAGATGAGACTCTAATGTTCCTTTGGTTGAGTAACTTCACAACCTTAGAACGAACGTTAGTCAAGAAAAAATTGTTGCGTAACGAGAAGGCCACGCACCTGGTCGCGAACCGTGTCCCACATTTCATTCTGACCGAACTCGTGACTATCTGGAACGGCAACAACCCTCATGAGGCGCTTGTACGCCTCAGGGCCAGAGGGTTCCTCGAATTTGTCGTCAGAGGTCCTATAAATGAGCTTGGGCCCGCGTCCCCTTGGACCCACACCGGCATAGTAGAGATTCGCCTCAGTCTTGGGAACTTCGTAGGGGGTGGTGGTGGCACTACAGACGCTGTCGTCGCTGTCTTCATCAGAGTCACCGCTCTCGTCAGAGGATAAGACGGCGCGCTCGCGTGCTTTTTCGGAGCACTGATGATCGAACTCTGGAGTCTTGACGTATTCCTCGAGGTTGAACTCGATGGGAACATCAACGTTGACCACTGAGTAAAGAATACAAGTAGATTATTACAGACAAAAAGCAAACAAAACGTTAAAAAAAGGCTCGCTGTTGGGGTTGAGGGAATCGTTTTCGATTGGGGCAGACATAGTACGTAGAGAGTAGTTTTCGAGTGAGCAAAGTTTTGATGCGCGAGTTGAGAGAAGTAAAGTGGTTTGGGCGAAAGGGAGAAAACATCAGGAAAAAGTCTTACACCCGTTTGCACACATATATAATATAATATAATGAGACTTTTCGATTTTGAGTGAAGTGATGTAATGTAAGAAAGCATGTGATATTTTAGACTTAGTGAGGAAAATAGCAAACACAAGACAGAGTGAATGAGACGCGTTGTGTCTGTAGTGCATACAGACTACCTCCTGCTACTCATTACTAACCTATCAACCTGTCTATTGCTGTTTTATTGTGCTAATTTAATTATAAAATGACTTAAATCCAACCTTGGTTGGCTGATTATGTAGTAAAATGTATAATAAGGCAGTATACAGATTATACATATTCTTAATTTGTCTAATACTAGTTGACATTCACAATATTTATAATTGCTTGAATCCAACCTTGGTTGGCTGAGGTTGTAGAATAAGTATTCTATATTTTCAGAATAATTGTACTGCATTACATGTTATACTTATGCTTGTATGAGATTATATCCAATTGTATATCAATGTATTTGATTTTCATACATTACAATAAATTAGAAGTAATTTAAAGAGCTTATACTCTAATGCTACCGAAATACATAATAATATATTCAGAAGATATTGAGTACAAGTAGGCGGAAGTCATGATTGGGCCGAAACTCGCAAGTGCGTTGCAAGTGTCGATTGCAAGCCTCATACCTTGACTAGAACCAGACGGACCAGAAAGAGAGGGCATGAAAGGACTCAGCAGCAACGAGATCGTCTGCGGTTGACCCTGCCCCTGCGAGCACTCTGCATCACTCGTCTTGAAATCAGCAGAGTCCACCATCTCCACTTCGCGCACGCTACTGCACGTCGTGTGCGGACATCCGTACGAGCCGCCATACAGCAAGCTATCTACAGAAAGCGAACCAAATACGCTGTAGTTGTCAGAATCGGCAGTAAATGCTGATGAAGAGATACTCACAGTATTTGCAGTACAGTATGACGAGCCGTTATGTGTGCGTGCGCCAGAACTTCGGACACGGCTCGACGATTTCGTACGTTCATGTCTCTTTTTCTTACCCTCCTTCTTGTTGCTTGCCTTCCCAACCACAGGCGCCACTACTGCCATCGGGTCTTTCTTCACCTTCTTACCCTTATCAGATTGCGTGAGCTGATAGACGTACCATGGGTACATCTCCTCGTGCTCTATCTTCCTCTGGTTTGTGAGATCATCTCAGTGTTTACGTTCCTCTGCGGACAGTGAATGCCATTGTTGTGAGGTTGTTTTGGATAGGTTGGCTTGACACTGACGCTGCACAACATAATCACCTTCTGCAGCTGCTGCAGCCTCTGCCTTGTTCTTTTTCAAACGGCATTCATGATGAAACCGGATGAATGCGTTCTCAGGCCGTTTGATGTAGTCTTCTTCACTGTGCTTTGGTTGCTACTCGGTCCCTGCAAGTTGAATCGCGCATGTGAGTGAGTTGTGGGGTTATACAGGTTGCAGAGACTGAGGTTGTGTTCGAGAGACAGGTTGGGAGATTGACTCACTAGGTGGGACGGAAATGTTAGTGTGTGCGGATAATTGAAGCGAAGAGGTACGATGGTGTGCAGCGAGTGTGAGTGGTTCACCGGGGTTGAGATCCGGGGCGTCGAACGAGTTGATTTGAGCAGCAGGCGAAGCCGTGTCTGTACGTGCACATTGCAGGCTCTGACTACATCTTGATCTTGCAATCGGAGGTGCAGTGAACTGAGTCATTGTGGATGTCTGCCTGGGCGGTTCTGGTAGGTATTGATATGAATAATGGGCCCTGATGACAAATTAGATCTGAGTATAACACTTCAATTCTATCCCGACTCGTTAATATCTGCCGAACGAAGGTTTGACGCGGAAGAGATGGATAAGTACCCAGAGATGATGGGAAGAGTAAACTTAAATAAAGCAGTAACCGAGAGTCTATAATTCGCGAACACTTAGGTAGAGACTAATAGTGCCACTGGAGCTGTGTGTCCACAGCGATTTTCCTTTTGATCCTTACGGACGACAGGTCTCGACGCGCCTGGTAAGTAATGGACCGCAGTGATCAACTCACGTCGAATTATGTCGGGCGATCTGGATTGCCGGCAGTCATACTCACTCCGAACCCGCTTCTAGTGTGTACCTTTGAGCGCCGACTTTGAATTGTGCTTTTGAATGTCAATTTGTCTGTTTCTCTCATGAATGGAGAAATGCACGCATGCGAGGCGCGTATCTACACGGCTGCTGACTTTTGTGTTTGAGGTCGCCTGCTTCACACACTCTAGCAGGTGACACGTGTCCATGTCCTCTTGAAAGCTGCTCTTTGAGTGTTCCTTTCGAGGCGATGTGAGCCTCGTTTCTTGGTGAGAAGCGGATTTTGCAGCGGTTCTTGTGCCTTGGGGTCAACCGCCAGTGCATTGAGGGTTGCGAACCGACGACAAACGAAAAATAAAACGTCGTCCCCGTCCGACCACTCTGGAATCTGGATGGGTCAAACAAGACGTCCGATCACAGATTAACCGTGGCTGTGATCGGTCGTAGTCAGGGGTCGAGTGCAACCTAGGCCTTTGCCGATGATGAAACAAATTTCCGATTCATGTCGAGTCTGCAAATAGACGTATGAGGAAAATATAGAAAATAAAATACAAAATCTCAACACTCAACACAAAATAGCAAGAGCTGAGATGCACGTTGAGCAACTCCAGCGAGACGTTGCTCAACGTAAATAGACGTAGAGAAGGGAGGAGTCGATGCTGTGCAACCTCCCTTTGGCACTTGTATTTTCTGCAAAGTGAAAAAATATATCAGAATAACTAAAGAGCGCCACCGGACCGATAACTACGCGATCACGTGCACTTCCCGGGTTGATATTACCTGCTGATAAAATCACCCCGCCTCTCTCTCCACCACTGCATTCCACTTCCTCGACAGCGTATTCCTTTCCTCTGTCCGACGACGAACATGATGATGGCTACGGGTTATTCCACTCTCTTTTCTCTCGGCTTGTCCAACATACACACTTCCTTCCCCCGCGATCCAGATGCGCCAGTATCGTCAAGTCTCAGTCTCAGCTCCACCACTCCGAGCACACCTTCGTCGTCCGCACCAGCCGCATTTGCACCCGTGCCTCCAAAAATCCAAATTGACACCCAGGTGCAGGCAAATAAGCCTAGTATGCGTCGACGAAGGTCCAGTGTCACCGCAGCGCAATCTCCACTAGGGACTGTGGGCAAAGCGCCTGGACATGCTGCCCGAGCTTCTGCAGTGTCTCCGGCTAGGACTCGCCACCGCCGCTCGGAGAGCGATGCCATCGCGCGGATGAGAAGCAATAGCCTTGGTGATAGCCTTCGGTATGTCCCTCTTTCGCTTTACGTTAGTTGACTGTTGGTGATGTTGATTGTGCATTATCCCCGAACAGACCGCGTCGTGGCGCCGTACGTGCCCCTGCACCAGCCCCGCCAGACATGCCTCTTCCAGCTGTTCCTGCGCTCCCTGCAGAGTACGCACGTGGAACTGGCAAAAATAGGGCCTCGAGTCCCGTGCGTCCGCCATCCGACACGGTGACGTATCGACGGACTTGCCTTTCGGACAAGGATTGTGCACTTAATTCTGGTCTTGGCTTGGGAGCATTGGGATCATTTCCCGTTCCACCCTCAGCGGCGAGCACGGGCTCATACCTGAGTTCCTCACAAATGCTGCTAACACCGGGCTTCGCCTCGAAGCTGGCTCTGGCTCTGAACACACCACCCGGTTCAGACTATCCGAGTCCGAATCCCCTTCAGAGTCCCGTTGACCCCGTTCTTGGTGGCAATTCGTACTTTGAGACACGGATCACCACCGATCAAGGCACGAAGGGGGATTAACCAGTCAAGCTCCGACGTCGTCATCCCTGCTTCGGCTTTCTTTTTTTCGCCTTCCGTGGTGCTATGCACCGGTTTATGTTAATTGTTTTAATATTTTCTGTCAAGAGCTAGTGTACAAGTGTGCATAACACCGTATATCTATTTGCTCCCTTCCCCGGTCGGAAGCCCCGCGTCGCATCTGTCTGTTTTGTCACCATTAATGCCTTGTAGCCACTTTGCTGTGCTCCTAATCTGTATGCCTTGTCACCATGCTCGCCTTTTATTCTATTCCACCTTTTTATCTAATTCGTTCGCCTCCAAAGCCTTTTATCACTTTCCTCTTTGCCTCATACATACAGTAGATAGTATATATTTGTTAATGTATAGCACTAACGCTCGCCACGTTCTTTTTATAGCCGTACAGTCGCTCCGACTTTAATCCCATCAAATATTTTCCTTCGAGCTTCTCTGCTCGACGTTCCGACATCGCGGTAGTACTAGTAATTACATGTTTGGCTGCAGTGCAGAATATGATATGGTGATTATGCTGAAAACCCAAGGCGTGCCGCTACGGTCTTCTGTCTGACATTAAAGGACCCTAACTTGATCTATGTGACAGTTGTTTGGAATATATTAATATATTTAGGCAATTTAAAAATCGTATTATGCGACACCACAATATGCAAAACGTCGGAACTGAAGCAGCCACATTGAAACATACACGATACTTGGACCAACTTCGAAGGTGATGGACTGCAGTGAGAGAGATGAATGCCTCTGCTTTTAGCGCAGTTTCCCGTGCATTTTGAAGGAGGATGACCAACTCAACGCTTCTCAAAGCTCTAAGACAATGGAACGGCTACCTCCATATCTGATATATTTTCAAAACATACAGCGTCGAAGTGCTTCGGCACGATATCTAGGGATAGATGTTACGGCCCCGGACGGGCCGGAGCGAGAAATCCGACTGTGTGAAACTTGATTATGTAATCGTTCAGTTCCCGTTCCGAAATTCGAATCTCGCGTGCCTTTGTTTCATTCGTTTTTTCTAGGGACTGGCGCGGTAAGGCTCTACCGCGGTAGAGTATTCTCACGGTTACCACACCGCGGTAAATGCTCCCACGGTAACCGCAAGTTCTGCGGTAACTGCAAAAATCATCGGAATTCTGCGGAGCTAGCCTTAAGTAGCATTATATTCTCACAATCATAAGATAATCTCACACTAACTTACGTGACTAGTCACATTAGTCACATTTTGTGACTACAGTCAGTTGTCCTCTGAGCACCTGATTCTTTGTAAGTCAACTTGTGCGGTTACTGCGGTTACCGTGGGAATTTCTACCGCGGTAAACCTGAACCGCGGTTCTTGGCACGGTTTACCGCGGCGGTTACCACGCCAGTCCCTAGTTTTTTCGTCCGTCTAAACGGAACAGACACAACTCATAGAACTGGTGTATCCTTCATTCACTTGCTTTTTCTCAGAATTCGCAGATATTCTTCACCGTTAGCGCTCTATCGGTTGTTTTGAGGACAGAGGCCTCAAGTCGACTCGTCAAGGGGTTGGAGATGTCTTACATTGCACACGCAATACAGCACAGCAGCACTGGCAATGAAGTATTCCTATGATGACTTACATGCATGCCTGTGCTGGAACTCAACTGCGTCTCCTCCATTTACTTCTCTGTCTCTTTAAGTATATGACTGTTCGACTCGCTGGGGTGGCCTCGTCCTGGTGCGGAACACAGTGTCGCATCGCTTCTGGTAGCTCCTGTTTCTGTTAACACGCACGTACATTACCCTACTTGATCCTAACGCTATACACTGTTTCATAGCACTGCACATGACTCTGGCGCTATTCAAGGTACTGCGGTGGCTCTTGGTGGACTCCGTTCAGCAGTTCAATGACAATGTGAAATTGGATTACGTAACATAACACCTTCGACAGGTAGTACGACAGTTCGGCTGCCCACTTCGGGAGGGTTCAATGAAGGATATTATTTGAGTCCTTCAGATGAAATCAGAAGTATATTAATATTATTGAGTCCTTTTCTGTTCATCTTTGCTCACTTCAATGCAGGACCATCAAAGCAATATGTACTATCGGCCTCATCTCACCGCAACGGGCGCCAGAATGCCGCATTCCCGACATAAGATCTGACAGCTCTTCCCGTAGAAGGCGGGATAATTTCTTGTTCGTATATTTTCTGTCACCGATCAAGCAGGGCTGCGTAATATGAGGCGGCGTCCTCCGACATGGTTGAGCGCCTCCTCCGCTGATTCGGGTAATTTACCAAACAAAAGTGCGCTCCCGTGACTCGTGTTCCTTTACAAACTTGGACGGGCCTAAGGGGCTGACACAGGCCTAGTAGCGGAGGAACAGCACCGTGCGGGATGCGCTCTTCTTACTGGCGGTACCAGGTCCCGGACGCCCAACGAGGCAGTTCTTCGGCCTAGGACGCCCGATCTTACAGGGATCTAGCTTATAGCACATACAGGGTCTTAACTTGATGCATATACAGGGACTACACAATCTGCAAGTATAAAAGAGGTTCGGGTAACGCCTGGAGAAAGCAGAATCCAAAGGATCTCTTGTAACTCGTTCACAGACTTCGCCTACTCTCCCCATACAAACAATTTCCTCATAATGCAGCTCACGGCTATCTTCTCCACACTCCTCCTTGCTGGCTCCGCATTCGCGGTTAAAGCGACGTACGACCAGACGTACGACAACGCAAGCGGCAGCATGAACGGCGTCGCATGCTCCAACGGAGCGAACGGGCTCGCGAGTCGTTTCCCGACTTTTGGTGATCTTCCGACGTTCCCCAACGTCGGTGGTGCCCACGCCGTCACGGGCTGGAACAGCACGAAGTGCGGCAGCTGCTGGAAGCTCACGTACCAGGGCACAAGCATTACCCTCACTGCCATCGACACTGCGGGTGTCGGCTTCAACATTGCCTTGGAAGCCCTCGACACACTCACCGATGGCCATGGCCAAGAGTGGGGCTCTGCAGATGTCACTGCTGTCGAGGTAGACAGGTCCGAATGCGGCACTCAGTGAATGTGAGTATTGTGATTAAGCAATTTCATTGACTATGTCTGATCGACATGGTCACATACAGGATGCGACACGGTCCTTTTCGCCTTCGTCTTCTCATTGGTACAATGGACTTTGGGATAGTGCTTAAATGTAAACAGACTTGTGTACTTTTAAATGACACTTTCACCCTACTCGTAGTGTTTCGCTTTCGCTTTGTAGTCTCGGTGATTGTATAGAACATCATGGGTGGAATGAGAATCTCTAGGGTTATATGCTAAGTAACTGCAAAAGGTAAGTAGTGTGCTTCTGAGGTCGGGAGATTCGCACATACTCGCTGTCACCTTAACCATCGGGTGTCGATTCAGGGTCATGCACTATTCCGGGAAACACATGATCCGTTATCCGCCTTATCCAGAGCAGTAATAATGATTCTCCTTCTGACGTCGTCTGAGTAAGCCATGTCGCCCCTGCTATAGACACCGTGTTATACTAAGCTATATGGCTTATAAATGCTTGAGACAAACTCTCCCACCCACTCCCCACCCTCCTACTGAACGATCCACAGGTCTACCAAATACCTGTTTCATTCCATAAGAACGGTCGAAACTTACTGGTAATTCATCGAGATGGCACCCCAGAAGATGAAAGCAGCTGTAACAATTGGCCCGGGTGGAAAGGTGGAAATCAAATCCGACGTTGATGTGCCAAAACCAAAGCCTACAGAAGTCCTTGTCAAGGTCATCGCTGCTGCGACTAACCCGACAGATTGTAAATATATTTGTCTTCGACTTGATCATGAAGAAACTTACGTTGGCGCCAGGGAAGACTATAACGCATGTTCCCACGACGGGCAATATCGCAGGCTGTGATTTCGCAGGAATAGTTGAAGAGCTTGGTCCTGAAGTTCCAGCGGGCGCATGTAACGTTGGTCAGCGAGTAGCGGGTCTTGCTCATGGATGTGAGTGGAGCCCGCTTTAGCTTTTCCTATATTTGCTCATTTTTCACCCGTGGCCACAGCCGCGTTCCCGAATGGTGCCTTTGCAGAATACGTTGCTGCACCTGCTTCTCTGCTTCTCCCCTTGCCAGATTCTTGGTCGTTCGAAGAAGGAGCACAACTCGGAATTGCAGGATACACAGCTTGTCTTTGCCTGTACCACGCCCAATCGCTTCCTACACCAGACGCACCGACTAAGGAGCCATTGGATATTCTTGTCTGGGGAGGGTCGTCGTCAGTTGGACAATATGTCGTGCAACTTGCCCACCTTGGGGGAATGCGCGTCGTTGCAACGTCCTCTCCGCGCAACTTCCCTCTGCTCCAGAAACTGGGTGCCGACCTTGTCTTTTCGTATGCAGATCCAGAAACTCCGGAGAAGATCCGCGAAGCAACGGGTGGAAAACTCGCTCATGCAGTCGATTGTATTTCTGAAGGGGAGACTTCCGAGCAAATTGCTCGTGCCATCGGCGATAATGGCGGTGTAGTCAGTATTATATTGAACTGCAAGAGTCCAAGGCCAGATGTGGAGTTCAGGCATGTTCTTGCATACTTCCTATTAGGCTATGTATGTGTTCAGTTCCAGTCATATTCTCTTTGATATAACTAAAAGAAAATACGGATAGAATCTCGAAATTCCGATGAAGCTACCCTTGGATACTGCACAATTTGAGTTCGCTCCAAAAGCGAAGAAGATTCTTACTGAAGCACTTGCGAATGGCTCACTTAAGCCTGGTCCAATCAAGGTCATGCCGAACGGACTTGCGAGCGTGAACGATGGACTTGCTTACCTGCGAGACGGAAAGGTCTGTATCACGACGTTCATTAATATATCTTCTCTGCTGATGGAGTACTTCCCGTGAATAGGTCAGTGGGGAGAAAGTCATCTACCGTATCTCCGATACGCCCGCGTAAAGTGGACTTGGTGGAAAAGATAACAACAAATGTCAGAAGAATTTTATATGTATAGTAAGGGACTGGGGCGCTGATATTATTGATCCTTGTGACTATGTTCATTTTACTGTAACATTGTATTCTCATCTTTGCTGCTTGTATGATTCTAGTTCGGCACTTTTTGCAGCAGCATAACTTTTTACGATAATCTGAATATCGTAATCGAATGGATACGAAGTTTCAATACTATATTGCATCAAGTCTCGACACTCGGGAATAGCCTATGTATTAGGGAGAATAAAGATTCGAAGCGTTAGCTTGAAGGGCTGCCACTGTTGGGGAGGCAAGGAATAAATTAAATCAAGGCTCCATCCACCCTGGCAACAGGAAAGATTTATTTACCACTTACAACAATATGATATATACGAATTGTACAAAGAGCGTGATATCAATTTATATTTTTTGTTATCTCCTTTATTCCTTTGTGTATCTTTGTCTTTTAATCACTATTAATCTTATTTGGGCTCTTCTTCATTCCCTTAACTGCACTTGTCTCTTTTGTGGAACAAACCTTAATGCCCTTAGAAACACACTCGTGTCTAATTAGACACTCATGCAGTTGCACACTATATCAAGGCCCTCAACTCGAGTATCTAGCTATGCATGAGTCATATTTAGCTCCGGGGGTTCACGTCCTACCACGACCCGGAAGCTGATTTACATATCTGGCACGTTTTATTCATGTACCTTTTACAATTACTTTGGCACATAGGCACAGGCTGTATCATGTTATTTGACTAAACCAACATGTTCACTTTGAAATACTATGTACAAATAAGCTTCATGTTTTATATTGGGCACAGCATTGGCTGCCTGATTCAGGTGTCTAAACTTGTAAGAACGATTCCCATGGGTGGGGCAAAGACAGGTATGCTATATTCTCATCTTCTTCACCTCCGCAAACAGGCATACCCTCTTCCCCGCTGTCCGAAGAATCGTTATCGTCATTCTGGTCGTAGTCTCTGTGCTGCTCATACCACTTCGGTTTGCGTGTGATATTGAGTACTTCACATATACGTGTAATTTGCTTGGCAGAAAAGAAAATACGTTCGTCACAGCGGCGCTCGTTCGAATTGGCGAAAGGAATAACCTCGAGTGTTCTGACAAAGTAGGGAAACTTATACTCTAGCATGAGCTTGACGGTCGTGAACTCCATGTCTGCCTTTCGAATCGCCCACTGTAGTGCCGTTACTTCCGCCTTGTATGGGTCTTTAGCCCAGTCGAGGTTTAGTTCCTTGCAGATACGCCGCCAGTCACTCTTCTTAACTCGCAATCCATATACGTATTTATCAAAAATGTGCTCCCCCTTTGAGCTGCAGGGAGCTTTATCAGTGAAAAGTCGCAATGTTAGTGATAGATCTTCAGAGACGTACAGTTTGGGCAGCTTGTCCGGGATCTCTGTCTGTGAGACGTTTTCCAGAAATTCGGTATTCATGACGTGCTTTTGAAGTATAACTAGCTGAATACTCAAGCTAGCAAAGGGAGGAGATGGGTTGATGTGCTTCCTGAAGGTTGTCTTTCGACGCATTTTATAATTTCTAAAGCAAGTGGCTTGGGCCACTGCTGTGGCACAGAATGTCGTTCAGTATGTAGACCACATTTGATCGTCAACAAGCATACTGTAGCCGCATGAACTGAGGAAACGCAAAATGGGGCATTACATGGCCAAGAACCAAAAGTAAGGTGACAAGGTACCTGTTACACGTTACAAAAACGCCGTAAGTAACCTCGGTGGAGAGCCACAAATATGTAAATTATAAAGTAGAAATTAATAAGAATGTGGGATCGTGGCTTTGGGCCTTGTATTATAAAAAAAATCTGACTATATGCAACACTAAGTGCGTTACTCAATTGTAACTCAAGATAAGTAATGCAACACCCATAGTGTGCCACGTTACGGTTCCCTCAGTTCATGCGGCTACAGTAGCCCACGATTGTTCTTCTCTAGACTATAGTCTGCCTTTGTAGTCAGCATTCACAAATCAATGTGCTATATTAGATTTATTACCACGTTAACGGTGAGAATATATTGCAGCTGCTCCATTAGCAATTGCAATACTTACTGCTTTCTTTCTTTGTACGCACCATTGTCGTCACGAGCCTTGTTTTTGTCAAGTTGCTCCAAGTCCCCAGCCCAGCCAAACATCGCGTAAACAAATTCTCCTATCATGTGATTTCACCTTTCTCGCCCATCACGCATATATCCAGGCAGGGGATTGAATGAGAACATTGAGAAACACTTCCCGTCTTGTTGAGTGAGTAAGGTGATACAGGCATGTCAACTGACAGAGATTCTACAACATGGCTTTAATCGACCCAGGAGGAAAAAGAAGTCCAAGTGGTACAACAAATTGCGGCAATAACGCAATAACGCAATTTTACGAAGTCCACGATTTCACGAACGTTGAAAGAGTCCATTTAATGAAAAGTCCATCACGTCAGACAAAATGCAAACTACGCATTGTTTTCTAGAAATTACACCGTCAGTTTAGCCTTCCTAATGAGAGAAACAACGTGAATAGACGCACACGTACAACAGTGGTTACAGTCTAACATTATGTTCAGAGTCCGCAGGCAGATTTGTCGACCTGAACTGCTGTAAGGTCGACTGCGCCGACTTCGGTGCCGTGACCATTCGTAAGGGTATCAAGTGCTTCCAATGCCAGGTTGAATCCATCGCCGGCATGGTCAATCGCCGTCACGAGGATGCTTACGCCCTGATACGTCAGGTTCCAGCACGAACCGCACTGCGGGCTGTTCCATCCAGCAATAGCAGAAGCGCCGCCGATGTTTGGGAACGTGGGCACGTCTCCGAAGGTTGGGAAGCGACTCGCAAGTCCGTTTTGTCCGTCGGAGCAAGCAACGGTGTTCATGCTGCCTCCGGCATTGTCATACGTGGTGTCGTAGCTAGCACGGGTCGCGAATGCCACGGTGGCAAGGAGAAGAGTCGAGAAGAGCGTCGTGAATTGCATGATGGGGAAGTTGAGTATTGTGAAAAACAATAGAGGTGTGGTGAGGTGAAGCGTACGAGTACAACGGGAAGCAAGCTAATGCTGGCCTCTCTTCAGTCTATGTCAAGGCATTTTATAATTTCAAGAAATGGCATCCCTGGGCGATGCATCGGGTGCGCCTTGATGCGGTTCCGGGATCACATGCCGCTGCGATTTCACCCGTCGGGCCATCGGTCGCGGCCCTCGTTAGAAAATCCGCAGAATTCCCGCGCGGCACTCTTCACCGTCGCTTCTGCACGTGGAGACATCGCTTCATCACAAACATACGGAATGAAATGGCCTTTTGCTATGCTGGTTAGAGTAACCAGTACGCCTAAAAAGAATCGATCAAGCGGAACAAGACCAATTCGAGCCATGCAATCTTGGCCAAGTGACAGTGCTTTGACCGAAGTGGGGTTGTCTTCTCGGAAGATCAGTCAAGACATATGACATGTTGTATGAAATGAATCGGTCATTTCAAGCCGTTCGCGAGTTTGATTTTATTTCCCTGCAAGTTTGAGCCTCGTAGTTGTTCTTGCCCTACTAGTACCTGGTCGGGGAAGTATGATCATGAGATTGACATTACGCATGCCAAGAAAGACGTCTGGGGAACGACACGAAAGAAGACTGGCTTTTTGATGTTCCATGAACCACCCGCATCTTTCATATGAATTGATGTTCAGAACAACTGCTGTCCAGACAATAAATGGAATAAAATTCCGAGCGAAAAGTGACATTAAAGCGAATTCGTACCCGTCATAGAACAAGGAGCTGTGCTTAGGGATCGATTAAAGTTCAGGATATGCAGCCCCAATCTGCGCAATTTTCACAAACAATCTATGAGTGCCCTGAGCATCGATGCTCATTTCCCAGGAAAATAACGCGTCGCCCTGGAAGACATAATTGTCATATATCAGCCCTGCAATATTGTTTATAAAACATAGTTCTCATACACGAGTTTGATGGATAATATGTGCTCTCTTGTGAGTTACCTGCATTTCCCGTGTTGGCCTATACTCTCGATTTTATACTAGGACTCGGATTAGAAGTGTTGTCATAACGTCGAACGGTCGAAGTCAAAACAGAGACAATCACATGCCGTTTTACATTACGTAATATCACATAAAGCAGATGATATGAAAAGTTGAAAACACGCAGTAGCTTGTGCATGTGCATACACGCGCATTAGGCTTTATGCGACTCATAGCAAATCTCGTCAACATAGAGTGAAATGAGTAGCCTCAGTCATGCCTTCTTACCGAATATCACTCTCGTCGGCCGGTTAGAAGGAATCTGCGACAGTGTGACTTGCACATAAGTTGCCTGACATGTGCAGAAGCTCGGAAAAATGAGCATATTTGCGGGGACTTCAAACCTGTTGTAATATGATTCTGCAGTAATAATATTAAAAGCATTCTCCATGAATAATGTAACATGCTCAATACTTCGTGTCTTAATTTCTGATGCATGCAGAATGTCCATCTATCGAAAGCGTAGTTCATAAAGTCCGAGTGTATGATTAAGTCCGAAAATCCCGAGTAATCACTTCTAATCGCCATATACGCCGGGCGGGTTACTGCAGCATTTTACAAGAGATCGTTAGTAATGCAAAACGGATTGGAAAATGGTCCAGTCTGACCTTTAATGCATTCTCACGAAACTACAAGCCGCACCCAGACTTGTCGACCTCCACGGCATCGACTTGTACAGCACCATCCTGTACCGCGTTTCCGTTCGTAAGCGTGTCAAGCGCCTCCTGGCTCAGGTTGAATCCGTCTGCAGCGTGGTCCATCGCAGTGACATTGATCGATACACCCGTGTCCGGGAAAGTAAGTTGCCAGCAGCTGCCGCATTCCGCAGAGCCGAAGCCAGCGATGGAGTCTGAGCCGCCAATGTTCGGGAAGGTTGGCAGGTCACCAAAGGTTGGGAAGCGGCCTTCGAGGCCGTTAGATCCCGTTGAGCATGAAACAGTGTTCATATCGCCTCCAGCATTGTCATAGGTGTTGTCAAAGCCTGCACGAACTGCGAAAGCAGTACTAGCGAAGAGAAGGGTTGAGATGACGGTTGAGAAGTGCATAACTATAGAAGTCGTTGACGTGAGAATAAGAGTAGTTGCAGTTGCAGTAAGAGTTGTTGGAACTGACTCTGGCTTTCCGAGAGGCTAGCAAGGCTCCTTTTATATGTCAAAAAAATTCATGCTGGGGCTAGTAAAAGTGCGCGCAGGGTCAGCCCTGTGAAAAACGTTATTTACAAAACATAGTTCTCATACACGAGTTTGATATGTGATGTGTGGTCTTTTGTACAGAGTTGCCTCCATCACCACGTCAGGCTCATACCCTTGATTTCATAGATGGAGGGTTAAAATAGCTTGGAAAAGTGGATGTATGCGCGTCAAGTCGTTCCAGTCACATGATACTACAAGTGAGTAAAGCAACTTGTGAACGGTCTTGGCGTGAGTATATCGGCATTATACGGCCTGTTCTAAAGCACATTAACATAACACATACTTAGCATGGTATGCGATGAGGAAACAGGCTCATGTCGAGCCTTACATACTTACCAAATTTCATTCTCGTCAACCAGTCGAAAGAAATCCGTGGCTTGCATAAACGTCCGCATGCCTGACAGAGGCAGCAGGTCGGAATTTTAAAAAAAGAAGAGTGATCTAAAACCCGTCGCAGTCGTCATGAGGGCGCTATACTTATACGAGTGTTCGAAACTGAATGCTTAAAAAATCGTGTCGTATTACCCAATACATGCGGAATGTCCATTCTATCATAACTATTGTTCTTTAAGTCCGATTGCATGATTAAGTCTGAAATCCCAAGAAATTCTCTTCTGACCGCCATATCTACTGGGCAGGTTACTGCAACATTTCACCGGAAATCTTTAGCACTGCAGACCATATTAGAAAAAACTCCGGTCTCACCTATGTGTTCGCACGACCTTACAAGCCGCACTGGGACTTGTCGACCTGCACGGCGTTGACCTGGATAACACCGTCCTGAACCGCATTTCCGTTCGTAAGCGTGTCAAGTGCCTCCTGGCTTAGGTTGAATCCGTCTCCAGCGTGGTCCATAGCAGTGACGGTGATCGTTACACCCGTATCCGGGAAAGTAAGTTGCCAGCAGCTACCACATTCCGCGGAACCGAAGCCAGCGATAGAGCTTGAGCCGCCGATGTTCGGGAAGGTTGGCAGATTGCCAAAGGTTGGGAAGCGACCTGAGAGGCCGTTGGGTCCCGTTGAGCAGGAAACCGTGTTCATATCGCCTCCGGCGTTGTCATAGGTGTTGTCAAAGCCTGCGCGAACTGCGAAAGCAGCACCGGCGAAGAGGAGGGTTGAGAGGACAGATGTGAAGTGCATGACTAGAGACGTTGATGGCGTGAAGAGAAGGTAAGTGGTGGATGGAGTAAGAGTTGTTGAACTTGACTCTGGTTTTCCAAGAGTCTAGCAAGCCTCTTTTTATATGTTTAGAATTTATGTTGCGGTTGGTAAAAGTGCGGGCTAGCATTGCCGATGTGCACATGAATCAACTCGCTAAGACTCATGACACAGTACGAATAGCGCAGGATGACACCGCGCTGGATCGCATATCCCCAGAAAACCCGGCTGTACATGTAAGGAAGGTGTCGAACCTGGAGAAGCGGCGGGATCTTCGGTGGGTGGGATAACCAGTCTGTATTTTAGTATCGGCATCAAAACGGATGATGATTGAGCGTCAGGTGAGCCTGGGGTTATTCTGTCGATCTATTAGAAGAGTTCGTGGCGTATGCAAAAGACATCATGGTAGCTCCGAAAAGTCTGGGCATTTGACAATGACAATAAGTTACCCGACTTTCATGAAGTTGAGTAGCCTGTTTCAATTCAGGGTATGCGAGTTCGTTCCGTGGTTTTCCCAGATGCGGAGTAGGCAAACCGACCGTCCACATGCTTCTAGATTCGTTAGAGGTAACCGCTGGACAGCGCATTGGGCCTAGACAAGGCTCCGAAACAAGACATAAGCAACAGTTTCCCATGTTGCAAAGACTCTACGGCGCTGTGTAACTACAGTGGTAGCGGCATAATCGTTTTCGCTGGCTCTAGCACAGATCCGCCCCTATTAAATCAGCACCGCCTCAAGAGGAAGTGCTGTTCGTAGGTTGACAAGAGGAGAAGGGTTTGCAGTGCTAAGGAATAGTATTATCTAATTACTGGTTACGTCATAAACAACCCAGCATGTAGCTAGCCGATTGTGCCGTCGCGACGCGCAAAAACGGTTTGCACCAACTGGAGTCCATCCTCAACGAACACGTCGACCACCCGCCATCTCCCGCCCTGCCGAGGGTAATACGCGTTCATTTCCTCCGCTGCACGATAAATACTTCTGTCTCTGATTTTGACGACTGCTCCGAACATTTACGTTCATAATGGACTCCGAACTAATCAACCTAGTCAACAAACTCCAGGACACGTTTAGCCACCTTGGTATGTTGTCTTATGCATGTGTGCTTGTCCATCACAGCTTATTGACGTATTGCTTATAGGCGGTGAGCTGGACATGCCCCAGATCGCTGTGGTGAGTCGGATTTTGCAAATGCTTGTGGTGCTTTGCTTAATGTACCTGACATTGATATGTTTAATTATAGGTGGGAAGCCAATCTGCGGGAAAGTCAAGCGTACTGGAGACGTATGTATCATTATATCTACTTCTAAAAATTGGACTATAGCTCTCTCCAGTATTGTAGGACGCGACTTCCTTCCACGCGGTTCCGGCATAGTCACCCGACGACCACTCGTCTTGCAACTAATCCACACAGCCAAACCAGATTCAAAGGGAAATACGGAATGGGGAGAATTCCTACACGTACAGAAAAAGTTTACGGATTTCGACGAGATCCGCTCAGAGATCGAGCAGGAGACATTGAGAGTGGCAGGTCAGAACAAAGGAATCAGCAGGTTACCTATCAGCCTGCGGATATACAGCCCGAACGTCCTAGACCTCACGCTCGTCGACTTACCTGGTCTGACAAAGATCCCAGTCGGTGATCAACCTTCGGATATCGAGAAACAGATTCGGAATTTGGTGCAGGAGTATATTGCGAAGGAGAATTGCGTCATCCTTGCTGTCTCTGCTGCTAACGTCGACCTTGCGAACTCCGAGTCGTTGAAGCTCGCGCGACAGGTCGATCCGCAAGGCAGACGGACTATTGGTGTACTTACCAAGCTCGATTTGATGGATGCAGGTACAAACGCACTTGACATCCTCATTGGACGTGTGTATCCTCTTAAACTCGGTTTCATTGGCGTCGTGAACCGGTCACAACAGGATATCAACTCGGGAAAGAGTATGAAAGACGCACTTGATAGCGAGATGGACTATTTCACAACCCATCCAGCCTACCGAAACATCTCGCACAAGTGTGGCACACGTTATCTCGCCCGTACGCTTAATCATGTGCTTATGAACCATATTCGGGACAAGTTGCCAGACATGAAGGCTCGCCTTAACACGCTCATGGGACAGACGCAGCAAGAGCTCAATTCATTTGGTGATGCAGCAGTCTTTGGTGACAAGAACGCGCAGGGTGCTCTGGTCCTCCGACTCATGACCCAGTTTGCCCGTGATTTCGTCTCCAGTATCGAAGGTACTTCTCTCGAAATCTCGACCAAGGAACTCTGCGGTGGTGCCCGCATATATTATATCTTCAATGATGTTTTCGGACACGCATTAGAGTCAATTGACTCTACTTCCGGACTAGACGCTCAAGACATCCGAACGGCCATACGTAATTCTACGGGACCGAGACCTAGTCTCTTTGTACCAGAGGTTGCATTCGAGATCTTAGTGAAGCCACAGGTCAAGCTATTGGAGGCACCGTCTCTAAGGTGTGTGGAGTTGGTTTATGAAGAACTGGTCCGAATATGCCACAGTTGTGCGAATACGGTTGGTATCCTTTATCATTTCTGCATGTAATTTATTTGTTAATGAACAAAACTATTTGCAGGAATTACTACGATTCCCTAGACTACATTCGCAGATCATTGAAGTTGTCTCTGAATTGCTACGGGAACGCCTCGGGCCAACCTCTGAATATACCCAAAGCTTAATCGACATACAATCCGCATATATTAATACGAACCACCCTGCCTTTGTGCAAAGCTCCGTAGCAGCGCAGAGACAGGCTACATCGCCACCTCGGACAAGGAAGGCGCTGCCTCAAAGAGTATGTCGCGATGTTCGTACTCAATGTTGCTTGGCTGACTTCTTCTAGCCGTCATCTACCGAGCCCGTAAATGGCATTTTGTCACAAGATGATGAAGAGGATGAGGATACAGAGAACGGCTCCGCTACCATCAGTAGCACCCGCTCTGTCTCGTCGACGGTACATGACCGAACGAAAATATCCGCCTCAGCACCAGCTTCAGGTCACGTCTCGTCATCTTCCTCAACCACAGCCCGGCAAATGCGATCCCACCACCACCACCATCATAATCCAGACAACTCCTCAAGACGCCCTTCCTCCACAACTCCAACTGTAGGAGGCGGAAGTACGAACATCGCAAAGGAAACGTTCCTCAACTATTTCTTCGGCCAAACGGAGAACGGATCTGGGACCGGTGCGGCGGCCGCACCAGCCATCTCTGGACCTGTTGGGAGTGTGGGACTATCGGCGGCGATGGTGTCTGGTGTAACACCATCAGGACGAGACACCACACAATCTGCGCCGCCGACGGGATTATTGGCGGGTAAAATGGGACCCGATGGGAATAACGCTGCATTTGATATGAAGAGTTTGGGGAAACATATTGAAGCTGTGAGTCAGAGTTACATAGATTTAGACGATCCTTTCTTTCGTGGTGTGACATTTGTCTTTTTGGTTTGCTGACACGAGGCTTGGCTTGGTTAGGTTCCGACCGAAGGTGCACCCCACCTCACGATGCGAGAAGACATGGAAACGAACCTCATCCGAAACCTCATCGCGTCGTATTTCAATATCGTCAGGCAGACGATTCAGGACCTCGTACCAAAGGCGATTATGCACTTCCTCGTGAACAACTCGTCGCAACAAGTACAGAACAGGCTCGTCGCGTCGCTTTATAAGCCCGATCTTTTCCAGAACTTGCTGAATGAGGACGAGACGATCGTTGCAGAGCGGACCCGCGTGAAGGCTCTTCTTGACGCATACAAGGAAGCATTCAAGACGCTTTCGGAGGTGAATATCAAGTCGATTTGAGGCTTCCATAGATACGGTGGGTTTGGCGATGGAAGGGGCACATCGAAACACGAGCGCTATACTAAGATCTTAATACACTGGTGCCCCACCTCTTGTTCTGCAAGTCAAAATACATACACTACAAATTGATGGATTATAGTAGACCTTTAATTTCAGCTTGTATTTTTCGTTAGGTTCATGACAATCACGCATATCCGAAACCTCACATATTTAACGGGGACAGGGAGACAGGTTTATTCAACATTCTAATATGTACAAAGAAGAAAACAGTATTGCAGGAGACAGGGAACAGGGGATGTGCAGTCAATTGAGGCCAGGAGCTAGGAAACAGAACAAAAACAACATGCGTGTGATGTGCGGTGTACAGACAATAGTACGAACTGCGATAACCAGGTAACGAGCGGGACAGTATGAACTCTATATTGCAGGCCAACCATTGGATTGCCATTCTACGCGGACGTAGAACGTCAACGTTAAGAGGTAGCTGAGGTACAGCGAACCAAGAATGGCTGAAAGTTGGCCCTATAATTTAATTAGATGCGATCTTGAACACTTTTCAAAAGTCAGCGACGAGAGTGTACACGCGTTCGACGACGTGGATTCATGTCTCGTCGTGGCGAATGCCTTGGTAAACATGTAAATTCTTAATTTGACGACGTTGCTTCCGTAGTTGTAGTCGTATTTGCAGTTGTATTCGTTTCGGTCGTGTTATCCGCGGTAGAATCGGCTGGTGTTGCCTCAGCTTGTGTGTCTGCGGACGGGGTCTTACCCTTGATGTTGACCCATTTCTTTGAGTTTTGCGAGTCGGCAGTTTCAGTGGTTGTTGCAGCGTCAACGAGCTTGTCGACTTCTTCATCGGTTGTCATGCTATATTCTGTATCGGCATCCATGCCTGAGCCTTCGTAATCTGATACACTCGGAGACGAGTCGCAAGATGAAGACGTCGAAGTTGATGACGGAGGATTAGACGCAGATGTAGTCTCGCCTGACTCTGTCGTTGACGATGATGTTGTCTTCTCACTCGACCGACGCTCAGATCTAGACGACTTCGTGGAATCCTTCTTGCTGGATTTTTCGGTTTTTTCATCCTTGTCAGTTTTCTATTCCAACTGTAAATGGCCCGAATGGTGGTGGGATAAAGAAATGCACGAACTTCTTTGGCTGCTCGTTCTCTTGCTGACTTTTCTTCGGCTTCGAGTGCTTCCTTGGCTTCTTTCTGTTTATCATAATCAATCTCGGATGTTGGAAAGAAGCTGAGATTAAACCACGCACCTCCTCTTTTTCCTTCTTGAGCTTCGCCTTCGTCTCGCGTTCCTTGATTATCCTTTATAAGACAAGAAACAAAGCACAGATCATCGATATCAGTATATCATCAAGCTTATCGATGGTATATTTGGGAAAAGCCGTGATGACGGAGCTTCGGCAACGCACTCACCATTCGGTGACTTCATCGACACACTCACGAGGACGGGTCTTGTTCTTGAGGAGATAACCCTGAAGACTTGCAACCTATAGATACACACGGATTCACACCCAAAATGGGGCAAAACAGAAGAAAGGTAAATCTCAATACATTGCTTCCTACAACTCGCGTGGACGCGGGTGTACGTACGCTCATCTCGCCTTCCGGGATCTGCTCTGCAAAGCGCTTCGCAAGCTCGTTGATCTCTTCCTGTTCAAGGACGGGCACTGCATGTGCGGTCGTCTTCCGCTTCATACCTGGCACGTTCCGCGTTCCGGCGTTGGCGCTTGCGTTTGCGTCAGCTCCTGTTTTGCTATTCTCACTCGCGCCTGACTCCTCATCCGCCTTCTCTTTGGCTGTACGCGAAGGGAAGAAACATTTGAAAATACCCTCTGCCTGCCATTTGGTCGCATTTGTGAAGTTCACCCACACATCCATACGCCCCGGCCGACTCAATGCCGGATCAAGCCGCTCAATGTGATTCGTCGTAGCGAAAAGCAACCTGAAATATATGATAATCCATCTCTGAAACTTTGTAAAATTAGCGAAGAACTTACCTGCCCTCCGCCGCAGCGACGCCATCGAGAGCATTCAACAATCCGCTCAAACTGAGTGTTGAGCCTTCTGAGGAACTACTGCTCTTTGACGATCCGCTTTCCGAAGCAGAGTCCTTCGGAGTACCAGTTGATTTCTCGTCACGAGAAACCGACCTTGTAAATGCTGCATCTAGGTCCTCCAAAAGAAGGATACACCTTCCGATGAAGAGAATAATAAATCAATTAACTGAGTCAAGAGAAGATTGCAAAAGGCAACGCATACCTTGATGGTACCCCTCCCATCAATGTGGCTAGCGTGTTGTCACTCATTCTTCGAGAAATTTGTCATGAGCCCCCATAAAAGTAAACCTAATACAGGGTACCTACCCTTTCGACGAAAGGCTGACGACATAGATGTCCAGTCCGAGCTCTCCGGCGAGCGAGTGAATAAGCGAAGTTTTCCCGCTAAAAATGACTTCCATCAGCTCAACTGAGCGCATATTAGCATTTCGAAGCAAAGTGCCACTAACCTGCCAGGGACACCATGAAGGAGATATCCTCGGCGGAATGGGATACCTGAATTGTTCAAAGTCAGCGCTCTGAACGCCTTCGATCATTCTTCCTGCACGAAAGCACAGGATTCCATCAGTGATCTTAGCCTAGAAAAACGCACCTCTTTCCGCGTACCACTCTTCGGAGCGTAAGAAGTCGCGACAGTCTGCCAGAAGCATGTCCTTGACACCAGGCTCAAGAACAATGGAGCTCATCGGACGTTTTTGGCGAGCTCCGTTCCAACGCCAGCTGCCATACCTGCTTATGATGCGGATGAGCCGGATCAGCGAAGATTTCAAGAGAAAGAAATATTCAACCGCCCAAGATACGCACGAATCGGCCATGAAAATGTGCACTCGATGCTCAGCATCCTTCTCGTATTCTCTCTTCGCCTCGAGTACAAGCTTCTTGAGAATGCTATTGTTACGCGCAATGACGCTATGACGCATTGTGAGAAACAGCTTTGATCTCGCATTTTACGGGCCGGACATACCTGACGGCAATTTCGGCATAGGCATGATAGCCATGAGACTTCTTGGTACGGGTTACCTAGAAGGAAAACAAAAAACGCGTGGTCAAACACGTTGTGGGAGCATGTCAAAAAAGCGTAATAGCGTACTCGTAGCCAATGCCCACGATAATAGATGGTATGTGTTGTGCCTGTGAAAATGTAGAGTTCGGTCATGCGACTTCCCGCCGCATAAGATCCATTGTATTTTGCTTACCGAGGCTGGGCATGAATGCGACCTTCCTCCTGCGCCGGCCATGGACGAGCTCATCTTCATCGTCGTCTCCGAGGTCCTCCTCTTCGAGGTCGCCTGTTGTGGCCTGCGTGAGACTGGCGCGTCCGACGCTACGAGTCGTAATCTCAAACTCGCGACTCTGGCCCCAAGCAGGTTGCTGAAATTTCCAAAAAGAAAATGCGTGTGAGTTGCGTTCTAATATGGAAGGCGGGAAGACGCCACGCGCCACGTGCATCCCTATTTCAGACGACGATGCGACATGGGGTGGCAATAGCTCAAACTAGACTGGACTCGTCTCTCAGAAAGAGGGCGAGAACGAGGCAAACAGGGAGGGAGAGAAGGAGCCAGACTAATACTAATTACGAACCTTCGACAGCCAGTGCATCAACCTTCAAAACGGGTCAGCACAGCGCCGACGATAGAAAGTTCAGGGGCACTCACCAGTCATAGGGATAGTCTTCTTGGCTAAAGTGCGCCGTCAAGAAGAACGCTGCCAAACAATAACGGTCAGTCCTCACCGGCCATTTCAAAACGGAAGAAGCGAAGGAGACAGTGAAAAATAGTGAAGGAGGGAGAGTGTGTGCATGACCGGAATTTAGGCGGAGGAAGATGATGAAAGTGTCTAGTGCATTCGGGACCCGATAACTTACAATCGACAAATCCATTCCATGCCGACTTTGATACCCGACGCGCCGTTTCCACTGTTCCGCCGATGACAACCCATTTCTGTCCAGCCAAATGCAAGGAGCGGGAAAAGAGAACGACAAAAAGCAAGCATAATGAGCACAATGTAATTTACACGAGAGTTGTTCGTGGCGCAAGCTCGAGCCTTACAAGAGTGTCCTGAATGTTGTTCGAGTTCATTCCGAGTGGAGACAGCACTGTCTTGAGTAGATCCATGATGGGAATGCCAACTGAGTCCAGTCCAGTCAGACAGAGGAGGCAAGACGGAAGAGGAGAAACGGGAAGAAGAGGCGGAGAAGAGGCTTTATATGTAAACACAGTAGATCGGCAAGTACGCGAACTCGGAGATGACAGGTGTGGTCAGGTTAGCCAAGTAAGCGAAGCCTCGTGCTGGACCAAACCTTCTAACCAAACAACGCTGCGGGCACGAAATGCACCACTGCGGCAGCGGTCAAATCCGTTTAGGAAATCCTAGGGCAAGATGCGTGCTACACGGAGTACCATCTCAGAGCGCCTCACCCTTTATTTATACACTCAGTGACTCGCTGCTCGGAAAAAAAAAGAAAAATGATGGTGCTCGGTCTACAGGTGGACATAGCCACGGTGAATAATATAATCAATCGGGTCCGTCCATCAGGGTCCTAATACGTATGGAGGCTGTAACTTATCACACAAAGATAAGCACATGTTCCTGTGAATAGCAGCCGCTTCTGATTCCTTTGCCACACCTCATAATTCAGAAACACCTGCCTGTACATGTAAAATTTCACCCCAACCGGCCTAGCATGTAGTGGCGAGCGAGTCCATACATCCCAGCCGATACGAATCGCTCCGCCAGGCGAGGTATACGAAACGTAGTAGGGAACGCCCCATCACGTGTGGCGTATCCTCTTTCTGCTATACGGATTCCAGTTCTCCGACGCCTGCAACTTGTGGCAACTGTTTCTCCGCAGAAAAGATCGCCGGTCACCAGTCAGGAGATCTCATGCGTTCTAGCTCAAGAAGAGGAATGTACGCTTTCGCTTTCCCAACCATGAGATAATTAGCTTCAAGGCTTTCAGAGGAAAGTTGGCATCTGAAGGATCTCGATGCAAATAGAAGCCAATTTAACGAACCAGACGGTACTTCCCTCATCGAAGGCATAACACTGCAAGAAAACGTCACCTGGGAAGGTTCTGAACATAGCGTTCCCAGGGCAGACCAGAAAAGACCCGTTTCATGCGTCAATTGTCGACCCTTGCCGCACGTTGTTAGTAGATTCGACGAGAAAAAATGTTCGACCTTCTTCACATTGCCTCGGCCGAGCCGAAAATTATATGCGACACGGCGTAAGTTCACGATGCCGGGTTTGTTATCTTGACTGCAATATGTTTATTATTTGATCATGGAGACCGACGAGGCCCTAATGTCCGCGGGCAAGATAGTAAACAATCACCGTCTATGTCCCCACTGAATGGCGGATAGGCATATGAAGATTTGTTCACCATTTGAGCATTAAACGAACCCCACCAATTACCGCCTACACAGCATTGTTTAAAATGAGTCGATGTACCCGCAGGCCTTGATCTCCCAGACAACCGGTGAATAAGGGAATACGCAGATCATCGAGGTGCGAGTCACTGGGCAATTCGTTCTTGCTGCTTTGGTCCTAAACCCAGCCCTCGGCATTTTGAGAACGACCTGATACATCAACGGAAGCGCGCCCAAGATTTAGCTTTCTTCTCGAAGACGTATTTGTACGACTGGGTAGAATCATGCAGAGTAGAACACCAGTACCTTTTCCTCCGCCTTGGCCGTAAGTCCGTTGGGAAACAATGGTCTTGGGCATCGGCAGACCGCAGACTCCATTCGAGCACGCCCTCATGCTCGAACCAATAAGCATGTCCTTCCGGGCCGAACACGCCGACAGATTTCAAGTTCCAAGATCTTCTGCGTACGGAAGCGGTCGAAGGACTTCTTGGTGTGCTATTGAATGGCCATTCGAACAGATGCCGTCGACGTAATCCAGCAACAACCATTCATAATCGAAGACCAAAAAACTGGCCGTTAAAAGCCATTCGGGAAATATGACGTCCGCAGAAAGACAGTACAAGCCACAATGCTGTCAGCTGCCGGGCACATCATAGAACCGAGGCTTTATCGGGTCATCCGTGGGATCCCGTGTGCTACAGGTTTTGCCGCCAAGAGCAACAGCGACCCTGTACAGGAAAGTAGGGGAGGGGAGAACCGAGCAGAATTGATACTAAAATTTACTACAATGGCCAGAAGGTTTCCTAGCTAGCAAAGGCAAGCTGCCCGGAGCATGTTAAATGAAGCTCCACAATCAAGTCAAGAAAGGCACATTACATGGCATAGGTTTAGATGATGCTGATATTTAGTCAGGGGCAGGCGACAGTTAGGAGTCTGAAGACACGGATAGACAAACCACCGGCTAGCGGCGGACACATCGATTCCATTTCCTAGGGACTCATCACAAGGACTCATCGCAAGCTAAGGACAGTCCAGCGCCCATGAGACGCACTCGTGTGCGCGCAACAGAGACACTTTAACTCATTACGGTTCGTCGCGATCATGGAAGTCTAGCAGCCATCTTAAATAGCACTGTAAAGCACGTCTAGGAACACCATAGATCATTTGGAAAAGGTACGAGAAAGCAAACACATAATCGGTGCAACACTGCAAGGTGGAGTTCGATCCAAGCGTGAGGTAGACAATCGACTGGGACCGAGTCCGGTAATATTAAGGACACCTCATTTCGACTGTCCTACATGCCAATAGGTCATCGATGAGCCAGGCGAAGAGCTGTAAAGCGAAATGGGATAAATGAGACGCGTGTCACTTGGTCACACTTATCCGGTGTATAGATGCCGATGTCCTATTAATCCAGGGCCATTTGATTCGTCAGAGAGAATGTACTTGAGGCTACTCGGGATTATATAGATAAAAGCATTGGGAGATGGTGGTGGTTGAGAAGGAAGAACGGAGTGACAGACTGAAACGATGACTGGTAATCTTATATCGATGGTTAATCAATGATAATCAACTTTAGGGTCGGTCTTCTCGTGTTTAACACGTGACATGGATGTATCAAATCGCTTTCCCCCAAGCAATACGCACGGCGAGGAGCTTCAGTTCCTCGACGGTCTGTCCTTCTGACATGCTCCCTTTCTGCATAGGTCATCCTGAATACCTGGGAAAACAATGTATACCTGGTGGTGTCGTGCAGTGCATCACGTATAAATTGGGGGATCTGCCGGGACAGCCCTAAAATATTAAGAAAGTTTCTATAATTAATGAGCAGAGTATTCTAGCGTAAAAGCTTTATCAGTATGTCCTCGAGAATTCCACGCTAAACAGGCTAAGTTTCCTTCTCGACGAATTCGCAGCAGAAGAACCGGCAAACTCTATAAATGTCGAACAAATTGAAAGAGCTCGAGTCCTCGGCCAATAATGGAAGCCATAGCTTCGCAGTTCGGTTCTGCGGTTTCGGAGCACGTGTATGTCCGCGGGCTGCTTATAGAGTCGTAGTACAATGTGGAAAAACTTCGTTTATATTAGGTTTCGCAGTCTGAGCCTGAATATCCTATGATGTGTTGGCAATAGACAACGAGCAAGAAGTACACCTGGATTGAATAATTAGGTTTGAGTTCAATAGACGTAAAAAGGTGTCAGATTAGATGAAGCGCAAACACGTACAATGGAGAAGCTTTCCAGCAAGAACTTGCATCGGTATTCTCAAGGTGTAATAAAGCACCGCAGAAATTCCCTGACTCCCGGATCCCATGAGTAGATGAAGTTAAATTTTGTGTTTCTTGTCAACAGCTAGTCTATACGCGATCCTGGTAGAGGTCTACGTGTTCCCATTTCAATCTCTTCGACATCCGTCGGGGCAGAAAGAGTCTGAAGGCCTTCCCGCATTTCACGACGTACACACAGCTGCTCAGCAACAACTACTGTTCCAATTGTCCCACCAGCCATGGCTAACCAAACGAAGGGCGACGAAGGTAGAGCGCCTGAGTAGTACGTAGTGAGGACTATGTGCACCAATAGAAGCGTCAAGGAGAAATCCAACACGAGCCGAGGGCGTCGGACAAGAGTGTAAATATATAATACACTGCGAAAAAATTGCGATTAGAAGTTAAATTACATCTAATAAGGGTAAAAGAAGGCAGAAGACGTACTCTGCACCGGCAGTTACCATCCAGCAGAAGGCTACTACCCAGCCCCGCAGTGGATCAGTTCGCCCATCCCATTGGTAGTACCTATCACCATCCTTGAAAGGGTCGATCCAAGTCCCAGTACCAACTTTCTGTCCACCACTATACGCACCACGAAATACACTCCATCCACGTCGATCGTCGCCCTGTAAACCATGTACGGTCGGCCAACCGGCCATTTCCCTCCAGTCCATGACCATGCCTAATAATATGATTAGCTGAATCGGTCATAGTCCTTTTAAGAAGTACATACCAACGTTCATAGCGCCACCTTCGTACATAAGAGCATTCGGCTCTGCGAACACCCATAAGAGCGGCGGGATTAAGAGAGACAGGGTCAGGTAATGGAGCGCCTGTAAAGATACGATCTATTTAATAATATCAGACCAAACGTACGGAATTTAATGGGTATGAGCTGTACTTGCTTGAGAAACTATGAGTATAGGATCCCATCCTAGGAGTGTCCGCTGATTCTGTCCGGCCATGCTCGTGAGGTGCACCAGACCCCAGAAGGCGCACCTGCCCTTACTGATGCTATCCGGTATGCGAATTGACCGACGTCGCCGAGAACTGCGGACGTCGTTTGTTGGTGAAGACTGGTGTGTATGGTCCCGCGCTGTCACTGCGCATCACGTGCATAATACCGGCTCGGCAACTCGCCAGATAAAAGCCGGATGTCCAAATCTGGCTGATTACCGGGCCGAAATGCTAATCACCAAACCAGATCCTAAGCCCAAGGCCGAGTAAATCGCGTCTCCTCCTTCTTGTCGCTGCGCTTTGCCAGCAGTGACGACCTGAGCCATTCAGTCTGCAAAATGCAGACTAATGGGTATGCTCGTCTTTCTCTGAATGACACTGACGATGTCCAGGAACCTGCCGTCGATGGGGAACCTCGTGAAACTACCACAGAGGAAACCAAAGCACCGTTAAGACCACACATGTATTATGATGAGGGACCTTTTGACGCGCCTAGTTCTGAAAGCGAGGACGAAACGTTGTTAGAGAAGGATGCCCCGGGTCGTGGCCGGCTGGGTGTAAACTCGCCAGGAGCAACAGAAAACGGGTTTCCATCGGATGGATTGAGGCTTGGTGGACCGAAGGTAAGTTCTTCATCAGTTCAAAGCAATACGGGTCTCAAATATGAATATTAGAGACGACCGAACACGCTTCGGTGCCTTCTTATCACCCTTGTCTCTCTTATGGTCATGGCAATCCTGATCGGTATCCTTGCTGCGTATACGTATACTGGCACTGCATTTGCTCCAATGCGCGGTACGCGTCCGCTTACTATGGATCATGTCTTCAATGGCACGTTTTATGCTCAGCACGCTACTCTGAGATGGGTACCAGAAGGTCGGCATTTGACGTCGCATACCGTTACCGTATTGACTTCCTTCTCGACAGCTGGCGATGGTGTTTACGCCGAGCAGGACTTTAAGAGAAGTGTCATTACCCTTGTGGATCTCAAGACAAATACTACAAGGGATTTAGTTAATCTGGGGGATGTGAAAAATGTAACGTCCACCGTTCAAAGAAACAAATCCAAGCGAAACTTACACCAGACGTAGGAACAAGGACTCCCATTAGCAACCGTCGAGTGGAAACTTTCCCCAGATATGAAATACTTGCTCATGAAAGCTAATTATCTGAAAGTTAGTAAAGTCCACCAGTACTTTATGACTTTCGGCTAATATTATTTGCTTAGCAATGGAGACATTCCTCGTTCGGCAATTATTATGTGCACGATATCGATGCTAAATCTACCTATCCTCTATCCACACCCTCCTTTCCACCCGTAACAGCCTATGCCGCATGGAGTCCTGTTGGAGATGCAATAGCCTACGTACAGAATAACGATCTATACGTGAAGCCTGACGCAGCGCGGTCGACGAAAGGAATCCGGATCACGGCGACAGGTTCAGAAACTCACTTCAATGGTGTGCCTGACTGGGTGTACGAAGAGGAGGTATTGTCGGCTGACTACGCGCTTTGGTGGGCACCCGATGCCAAGCGGGTGGCTTTTCTTGAAAGCGATGAGACGAACGTAGATGTATACTCGTTCCCTATTTACAATCCTACCGCGGACTCTTATTCAGTTCATCCATACACTGAGGACGTTGCTATGCGGTACCCTAAACCTGGATATACGAATCCTAGCGTCGACGTTCACGTATTCGACCTCGATGGATACCTATCCAACAGGCAAGATGATGATGACGAGGATGATGACGAGATTTCTGACGAAGTCACGGAGCATCTCTCACGCCTGACCTGGTCATCTCGTCGGTCTGTGAATGACTCGGTTATCATGGACGTTGCCTGGATTGGCGCGGATGACCTCCTTGTCAAAGAGGTCAACCGAGGAGCAGACGATGGTGTCGTAGTTCACTTTGACATGGAGGATCTATCTATCGCTGGTGCTGAAGTCCGAGGCGAGGTTGTTCGCCATCTTGGTCGGAACGGTGAGGAAGGCGACGGTGGATGGATTGAAAGTGTTGGTGTTCATTAACCTTCTCTGGGTATCCTCAAGCATTGAACTGACGTCCTGCTTGTAGCGGCAGTCTGTCTACCCACTCCCTCCCACACTTGTCACCACATTAGGACTGGATGGCACGGCGTATCTGGATCTTGTCAATAATTCCCAGGGTTATACACATATCGCACTCTTCTCACCTGCAGACAGCAGTGAGCCTTTGTTCGTGACAGACGGCGAATGGGAAGTTGTAGATGGAATCTTAGGTGTTGATTCCAAAGGCATTGTGTGAGAATCAATGTCTGAAACAGGTTCTTCTACGTATAAGATACTCACATACCGTCTTACAGGTACTTCACAACAGCTTATCCTTCATCAATTGAACGAGCAATCCTAGCAGTGCCTATACCATCCCAGGTTTCATCCGCAGACTCGGATCGAATCACGGAACTAACAGCACTTACGGACACAACAGCTCTGGCATGGTATGAGGCGAGCTTCTCCCCTGAGTCTGGATATTATCTCTTGGGCTATCGAGGCCCGAACGTACCATGGCAGAGTGTCTTCAGTACTACTGTCCCGCGAGAAGGTTGGTCACATTGAATTTGATACAGTCGGCAAGTGAGCAAGGAACTGACTAACATTCAGAGTTCGAGTACAAAGTCGTTGAAAATACACAACTAAACGCCACGCTGGCCGAGTACCAAAGTCCGCTCATTATGCATTCAACTATCGAAAATGATGGATTCGGTGTGTCTCCTCATCAAAGCGTAATTGCATTGTACACTCAAACATGAATGTTACTCTAGAGTTCAACACAATGGAACTTCTTCCGGCCAACTTCGACGACTCGGGACGGATAAAATATCCCGTTTTATTCCGAGTGTATGGTGGTCCAGGTTCTCAAATGGTGCATACACGTTTCGAACGTGATTGGCATGCATACCTGGCTTGTACACTCAAGTACATTGTTGTTATTGTTGACGGACGTGGAACAGGCTTCAGGGGCCGTGCATTGCGGAATCCGATAAGAGGCAATCTCGGTTATTGGGAGACACGCGACCAGGTGGGAGCGGCCAGGTTTGTCCGTTTGTATTTATGCCCTTTCGATGCTCAAAGTCTCGTTTTACTAGAATTTGGGCGTCGAAGAAATATGTTGACCCGAAGAAGATTGGTATCTGGGGATGGGTATGTCCTATCACTTCTGGTGACAATGTTCACTAACCGCTTATCTTGATAGTCATATGGTGGATTTATGAGCTCGAAAGTCGTGGAAGCAAACGAGGGTATTCATTCTCTAGCCATGGCTGTCGCAGTAAGTAACGATTTAAGTTGATCGTTTGGTGGAATTGTTCAATATTAACCTATTCACTAAAGCCCGTCACAAGTTGGAGGCTCTACGGTACGTTCCATTCCCATTTTTTGGGAGATACAACCCGCTCAATCGCATTTCATCGCAGACTCAATCTACACAGAGCGCTACATGTCAACACCTCAACTCAATCCTACCGGGTACGACAATGCCTCCATTACAAACATGACAGGATTCCACAACGCTCATTTCCTCCTCGCACACGGGAGCGGGGACGATAACGTGCACTTCGCCAACTCAGCTCATTTGCTCGACATGCTCACAACCGACAAAGTACGAGGGTTCCGCTTCCGCATGTTCACAGACAGTGACCATTCAATTAATCGACGAGGAGCGTATCGGGAGTTGTATGAGTGGATGACTGGGTTCCTACTTGAGAAATGGGGGAAGGGAGGGAAGCATCGGGAATGGTGACGGACCATTATTAGATTACATCGTATTGCTTTGGATAAGTGGCCGCAGTTTAGAGATCTTTATCAATCGTACATTTAATTCTCCTCTCGGACAATTCGAACAGGTATGATCAGAAGCGTGACTAATACACTCAGCAAGAAATGCGTCAACCGACGCATATACTCCGAACAGCGGACATCGATTGAGGATTAAAACAAGAACCACAGTGCGAGAAATGTGATAGTACGTGAAAGCACAAGAAATAAAGCACGAGTAACGCAAGTCTCTAATATGCATCTGGAGGTCCTGGATTAACACAACGCATCGTCACAGATTGCGCAATTCAGCTTCAATCTTCTCCAACGTCGCAATCTTGGACGTCAGTGCCTCTCGTTCTTGTGCAACAGTTGGATCCTCCTCCATCAAATTCCTAAGGCGTTTTGCTGCATCTGGTGCACCAAGGTTAAGCCTTTGCAATAGCGTTCTCTTCATGTTCTCCGCAAGACTCTGATGTAGTGCGTGCTCAATCACAAGTGGTATGTTATCGATAATCCGCTGGGGACACGAGTCAGTTCGAGAATAGCTAGAAAGGATGCATCACCTGATACTGACCTTGTACGCGACGAAGAAGTATGCTCTCACGTCAGCCATCACCTTTAGTTCCTCGTGGAAAGGATCGCGTGCACCCGTGCGCAGGCGAGGAAGGTCGCCAATTGTCACGTTAGTGTAGCCCAGTCTACGAAGTCCATTGAGCACACTGGCCATTGCTAATTTCTCTTCTTCAAAATACTCTATAGACATAGGAACTGGTGAAGGGGGTACTGATTCCAAATATTCTATACTGTTGTCAGCTAGTTCTGCGTGTTGAGAAGTCAAAGTAGTAAGGTACCTATGGGCCTATTCTTCTTGTATATGTCTTGGTTTGCCCTCACATTAGTGTATCTTTCTAACCAGTGCAACCGCAAGGTCAGGAAGTAGTGCTCATTCTGTGTATATAATGGGTGTTTCTCTTGCTTCAGCAATGCAAGGACAGATGAATTGGCGGATTCCTTGTGCTCGTCAAGCAGATCCTTCAGCAGGTCTCTGATAAACATGTATCAACATCAAGAAGATATTGCTTCGAAGATGTGCAATGACTTACTCCATGTGATTATTCAGCTTCCGGAACCGACCGAAATGGCGGTGAAGAATATGACCGATGACCGTCGTTAAGTTCTCATATACTTCTTCAAAACATTCAGACGTCGGCTCGTCCCACTGTCGAGTAAGCTCATCGATCAATGCATGTTTTGCGTCGAACGGAACATTATTCGGCAGTTCCCACGCAATCGAACTTTGGTAGAAGAGTTTAGCTGCAAAGTACAACTAAAGGACTGAATCATGACCGACTCTTGTATGACTTTCCTCACATAGAGGAGGTCGCGAGGGCCATTCCCAAGACCCTCAATCGAGTTATACCGCTCTGGGTCTGAAAATATCGGTTTGTCATATTCTCCATAACCCTCAAACGGTCGAAAGTCAGGCGCAGTAGATCGAATCTCGTGTTTGAATTCTTTGTATGAAGTGCGGTTACGATGGATGAATGACTTGCCACAACAATCCAAGTGCCCTCTAATCTGCAATTCGCTCGACATAACCGTGGTACCATATACTGTCGCCGAGAACTCTTGACAGAAGTTGGTGATACGCTCTAAGACTTCGCTGGACACATCATTAAGAGCGGTTGGAAGTTTTTGCAAAGCTGCACGAGCCTCATCAAGTTGCTCTTGTGATTGCTTGCGCAACGTTGGTAGCCTAAGGACAAATAAATCAGCATATTGTGGTCATGCTGCAATATCACATACATGTCATCAAGAAGCCCTGTTAGTAATCGACTCAAGTCATTGACAAGGTGTGTAATTCCAAAACGACTTCGATCCCGAACAGTGTCCCAAGGTGAAGTCGTCGAGAAGAAGGTTGATTCTATGGCATTCCGCTCTTCCCGTGACGGATTCTCTGCTCGTTCTGCGTCATCTGACAATCTCACACAGTAATATCCTTTCGCAAGGGTGTGATTGTCGGATTTGTTGCTGCCATCTAGCATGTCCTTCCATTTGTTGCGTGCGCTGGTTGCACCAGATGTCAGTGTGTCTGGCTTAGTAAGGACGCCTTTAACGATGCAAATGAGTATTATTAGTATGCTCAGTAGTAATCACACAGACCTATAGTTCTGGACTTGTTCTGGTCGGCTTCAAGTGCAAGACGCATTGCCCTCTGATTTTCCATGTCGTCTGAAAAGTAATTAAATCATGAATAGGTCATGAAAGCACATAAAACATTTCGTACCACTCATGGGGATGGTGACTAGGATGAGACAATGTCCTTGTATGTAAGAACTCACCAGGTCTTCGACAAGCTGAACGACTTCCGGTTCATCATTTTGTATTAGACCTAAGTTACAACAGGCCTGTCACATAGTGGTTCACATCATAAAAATTCAGTACTGACCAGGTAGGTCAACAAAAGACAAATTGGCACAGCTGGCATCGAAGATGTCCACTACAACGACGTTCCTACTGAACTTTAAGGTTCCTGCCTTGAATGCATTTGGTGTGCGATAGTATTCGAGGTCCTCTCGTGATTTCAATAGGAAGGTGTCTGAGTCCATTTTTGGATGGTTCAGCACAGCGGTCTGTGCACGCCGCAGAGCCAATTCGACGTCATCAACGTTCGAAAGGCACGGGCCGAATGGAATACGCAAAACCTGAGGCAAACGGGCACCAGATATCGCGTATTCAATGCGAAGGGTTATGTAACATGACCACGCCCCGGGTGAATTAATTAAGTTCACTTCCATAGGGCATCTGTCAGCAAAAACAGTTCATGTTCTGAGCCTTCATTGTGATATTGCTCAGCAACACACCTTGTACACGTCCCCGCGTCGCGCGGCACTCGAATCTGAATGGACTCCTCAGACACAATTTGGACTATTAATAATATAGACAGACTCACGCCGCTCACAGCCTCAACTAGTGAACTATGAATAGGAATCAGAACATGGTTTGGGTGCTAAGTCATATTTGCAGGAACTTACCTCTTACCAGCTGACTGACCTCCGATGACAGCTATCCGAGGTACATCGAGAAAGGCTTGGGCACTAAATGCAGGCGCGAAAACGATAGGTTCAGTGAACAAAAAGGAAAGAGGATGAATAATACCCTAGGTCGCGCAGCTTTTGCGCAGCTCCCATAAGCTGGCTCGACCTGTCGGCATACGTCGATTTTGCGAGGTCGCTCGTAACCATTGTTCTAGATAACAAAATACAGAAGAATCGCTGGAGGAATAGCTTTGAGCTGGGGAGATTGGTGTCGTTTAGTGAGCCTAGTCTTGCAGTATGTGGGGCTTTTATGGGCCCACCCCCAGGATCAAGCCATACAAACATCCCGCACGCTGGGTTCAAGGTTCAAGGTTATCATGTTCCTATTTCAACTAGAATCCTCCAGTTCCGGTACAACATCGCACTGCGATGGGCGCTTTAGCAAAACACGTGTGATGAGCCTGATACTAGGTTTGGTGGAGCAAGAGTCACAGGTCCATCCCGGTGATAGAACAGGGCATATCGGTGATAGTGAAATAGTGGATAAAGGGCAAAGCGTTGTCCCAACGAATTCAAGAGCTACTGCTCAGTAATTCGTCCAAAGACATAGGGCGGCGTCATGGCGTTCTTCCGCAAAAAGCGACCTAGGTGGATGCGATCATCTGCGAGATGTGGACAATAGCAAGCTCTTTGCTGTACAGCGTCCTTGATTATTCTGGAATATCATCTACCGCTGTACCAGATAAGGATCAGATAAGAGTGGTGTGCGGAGCAACCATAATGAAATGCCACGCGTGTGAACGAAGTCAAAACAGTGAAGCATTGACTTCGCCAAGACAGCAAGATTAATTTCTTTGCCTAGTAACTAGCATGCACGAGATGTCCAAACGTGTCGCCATAGAGCAGTGCTATTGACACAACAAGCCGAGCAGGACTGCACGTGTACGACCACTACCAACCAGAACGTCAATGCAGTGCCAGACATGCAGAAAAGCTCTTGGAAGAAAGGTTTCCAGGAAACGGCAGAGTTCTGCTTATCTAGACAAATCTAGACGGACGGACGGCACGTAAGGTGCTCCGGGTACAAAGGATCGTGCATGGCCTGATATTACTGTACTTTGAAGTGAAATCAGGCGACCACCAGTCTCTTCTTGGGGGAGACGTGGACCACATTGCGAAAAGATACTGCACGTGTAGATGAAGTCAATATAGCAAAGCACTGAGTTTCATCGAAACAGCATGATCGATTTCTTCGTCTAGCAACCAACATGTACAAGACGTCCAAATGTACAGCCTTCTCGTTAACACAAGAGCCGGGCCAGGGCTGCACGTGCCCAACCAGGATGACTTCGGCACTGAAAGTACTCAGGAGTTTGTATGGGCCGATGTTTGCTTCGTGGTGATATCAGACGACTACCAGTGCATCATAGCTAGCTTCCTTGGAAGTACGGACCAGTCCGGGTAGTTTCGGTTCTAAATGTTACGTGTTCAATTCCACTTGGAAGTGGGTTCGACCTTGATGCGGGAGACAGTAGAGAAAAAACCAGCAACGCTTTTAGGCTCTGACTTCGGCATAATATCGCTGCATGATCGCTTCTCCTGAGTTATAGCAAGAAGGAACCAGCCTCTGAGGCGTTGCACCGAGCGGATCAAGAGAGAAACGAGTGAAAGGGAGAAAGCGGTGACGATCGCTCAAACTCGGAAGGATGTCACGTGCACTCCGTCTGTCGGTCCACTTTTAATTGCTACACAACGCGAAAAATGGACTTATTATTTTTGGCCGTACATCTGCTCACGGCCCTCGAGCTACCTTCCCAACGTCCACCATGGCTCCTTCTCGTCACTCATATGATGTCCTCATCGTAGGGGCTGGTGTTGCTGGATGTGCACTTGCCCATGGTCTCGCGACCATCACCTCTAGCACTCGTTCGAAACAACTCCGAATCGGTCTCCTCGAACGCTCCTTTGCAGAACCGGATCGTATCGTCGGTGAACTGCTCCAGCCTGGAGGGTGCAACGCTCTTCGAAAACTTGGCATGGAAGACTGTCTTGAAGGCATTGACGCAGTACCAGTGCGGGGATACTGCGTCGTGAATGACGGGAAGCAAGTCCACATTCCATATCCTAATAATCAAGAGGGCCGGTCGTTCCATCACGGAAAATTCATAATGTCCCTTCGAAAAAAGGCCCTTGCAGCCCCTGGTGTTGAAGGCATTGAAGCTACAGTCACTTCTCTTATCATGGCAGACGGCGAGAACCGCGTACATGGTGTCCGTGCAACTCGAAAAGGCTCGGAGAACGGTGAGAAGGAAAGCTTCTTTGCTCCGCTGGTCTTCATAGCCGACGGCTGCTTCTCCAATTTCCGTGCCGAGGTCATGGGCGAGGTGTTTGAAAAACCTGTCACACGAAGTTACTTCGTTGGCGCTATCCTCAAAGACGTGAACCTGCCCATTGACAAGCATGGCACTGTCGCATTAGTCCGTGGGTCTGGCCCTGTGCTGCTTTACCAAATTTCAGAACACGATACGCGTATTCTCATCGATGTGAAGACGCCGTTACCCGCAGACCTCAAGGTGAGAAACCCTTCAATATCCTTGGCACACTGCTGACATGCAAGTCTTCCTCAAAGGAATATATTATTAACATAGTCGTACCTGAACTCCCCGAAAATCTACAGCCGGCCATTGTAGACGCTTTAGCACGAGACCGGTTACGGCGCATGCCGAACTCTTTCCTGCCGCCCGTTGAACAGGGTGGTGAACAATCAAAAGAAGGCGTTATTCTCGTCGGTGATTCATGGAACATGCGGCATCCTTTAACAGGAGGTATGTTGTTTACCTTTCTAGATATCGATGACAAGTAGCCGATTCCCCTATTTTCATTTTAGGTGGAATGACTGTTGCATTTAATGATGTCGTTATCCTCACCGACTTGTTGCGAAGCGTGTCCCATTTCGACGACTGGGCCTGCGTCTCGCAGATCCTCCACGCCTGGCACTGGTCGCGCAAGCCACTCGGTTCGACAATCAACATCCTCAGCATTGCGCTTTATGACCTCTTCGGCGCCGAGGGTCTGTCTCATTCCTTGTACTACATCACGCAGGACTAGCTCACTGATACATGCTTTTGTCTCTACTTTCTCCATTTACTCCCGCTCTCATCCCTATTCCTTTCGGCTCTCGCAATCTGCTTCCGTGACATACACGCACGAATTTGTCTCTCTGAAAATTGTATCCGTCCGATGTATCGCTACCGCTCTCTTCGGCTGTTGTTTGTTTTATTATGAACGCATTACCTGGTTTGGTTCGGACATGTGCAGATGAAAACCTGGAAGTGCTACGCGTGGGCTGTTTTAAATATTTCCAACTCGGAGGAAACTGTATAATGGAGCCTGTCTCCCTGCTCGCCGGGTATGTCCTTCAATCTCCTCTTTAATCCCGTTCCCTCTCTTCCTCCCCCTCTTCCCTCTTCTTTTTTACTTCGCGAATTCCATTACTCCGAGTTGCTGCGACTCTCACGACCACAACACCCGTGTTTCCCGTTTCTTCCCATATCCGCTCTTCTCCCAGCGCCTGTTGCTGCTTCCAAACGGTTACCTTCTTGCCGAACCAAAGGCCTGGCCAAAGTAGACTCGCTGACGTACGATTTGATTTCCTTATCTTATCACATAGGATTTCCCACCGTCGCTTCCTCCTCTTCTACCACTTCTTCTCCGTCGCGTTCTACGCCATTTGGATAATGTTCACACATGTACAGCCGATTGCGGCCGTCAATGGTGGAGGTGGTGGTAGTGGCAAAGTCGTGATGCGGCGTCCTGGCGTGGAAGAGTATCCTTGGTTACTCGTTAAAGCCCTTCGTGTGGTACGTCCGTCGTCTTCTTTGTCTCGTCTTCTTCGTTTCCTTTTCGTCTCGTTTCTTCGGATGGATGAATGTTTACTTTTACTTATGGTGATCTTGTATGCAGTTCTGGACTGCTTGTGTCGTATTTGGCCCGCCACTCTGGAGCGAGTTGAGGTGAAGGCGCTTTTTGGTCGCTTACGCCCATCGGTTGCTTTGCTTTTCATCCTCGGATACTAGTCGGCGTGTGTGTATCCATCAATAGAACGGATCCTTCCCGTTTCTTGGCGCATGGATTCTCTCGGCTACAGACGGACCTCGCTCCTCCTCGTCTGGACCACCTAATAGCGCGTATTTTGTTTCATCACATTCCGGATTTACTGTATAACTATTTTTATTGCGTATATTCGATCAAAACTACTTTTTGGATTAGTCATGAATTCACTCGCACTTCTGTTATTTTTCCCGTAATGGAATCCCCTTATCAGGTTGCGTATATACACAATAATTCGTGCATCACGAATTAGCAATCCTACTTCACCAGCTGAGATGGCATGCGATTTGCCCAGTAAGGCAAGTAAATAAGACTGTGATCAGTTGTGTGAGAAAAGCTACTAGAGTTACTAATTGAAAAGAATGTTATGTAATTCAGTAATATAACTGGCCTAAGTTGCAATCCTAGAGAACACACACTATTTGATTGCTTTGTACAATACTATCAAATGCACATATGTAGACATTGTTACAAACTGTAATAAGTACTAAGAGTGTCTTAATAATACATTAATACACAACTTGTATAGTTCCCAAAAGTACTTATCAAATAAATACAGAGCCCTGAGAAATACATAATATATATGTAAGGAAATATTGTGAAGAGTAAAGCTGTCAGATTTTGATTATAATATACAGTATTTACACAGATACAGACATACTAGAGTCTTTATTGTTAGTTAGTTCTAGAACAGACAATTGTTTGGTTTGAGTCAGAACTACTATACTTTACTTAGAGTGTATCAACTTACTGTATACTTTAGTAATTAAAACATTATTTTTTAGAATTTGATAGTATTATTAAGTAACTGTTAGTCTTATAATTTACAAATAGCTTAAAATAGTAGAAACATTTCTGGTTCTTTATTAACAGTCAATATTCTACTAGAGAGAAACAGATTTCTTAGTTCTAAAACTAGAATTAGACTTTTAACTTACATTTAAAGTATTAGTCCTTCTTAAGTACACTTTATTTTATTCCTTCTATTAAGTATATTCAGTTCTAAGTACTACTTTTATACTAGTCTAAAACAAAGTACATTCTACAGTCTATTACTTAGCAAGTTTACACTATTCTTGTATTGAGTCTAAACTACTATAACTTTGCTTAAAACTAGAGACAGTTAAATAGTAGTTTATTAGGTTTATAAACTGTATATTAACTATAAAGACAAGTTAGACCTTTTTAGCTAGTTGTGACTATTTACTTTGTATAACTTAGAGTTATTATTATAAAACATAAGTATAACTTGAATTGTAAGTCTAAGTACAGATTAGTTTAAAATAATTTGTAGAAACATTCTGGTAAAAGAAAATACAGTTTTAAAAGACTAAAGTTAATTCTAGTAAACTTTAACTACTATTCTCAGAAATCCTAACTATCCTGTCTAGTTAAAAGGAGCTTATTCTAAGTCTGCTCAACTTAGTTTACTAAGAGTATTTTACTTTAAAGCTCTTTGTAAAACTTATTTAGAGTAAAAGACTCAAAGTAAGTCTAATTGTATATATACTATTAGTATAAGTAACTATCTTTAAAGTATTCTATTACATTTAGAACACTCTGTACTATATTAATTAACTTAACAGTTATATATTTGTAAAATACTAATACTTATAATTAAAAGACTAATAGTATTAGGTTGTTTAATATTAATGTAAAAAGCTTAATACAGATAGTTCTTAAAAGTCTTTAGCCTCCCTGTTTTTAGAAAGTAATTGACACTTTTCAGTAATCTAGTTTTTTTAAGTTAAAATATAAAGATATTCTAGCTAACTATATACTGTAAAAATAAATATAAATTATTATCTACTATAAAGTACAGTAAAACCTCTTATTAAGTATTACTCTTAGTAAATATAAAAAGTAATACTTATTAAGAGGTTATACTTGTTAACAAGTAATATTCTAGTGTCTACAAGAGTAATGGTAGACTTGAAATGTTATACTTAATAAGAGATTATACTTATTAAGAGTAATACTTAATGAGAGGTTTTACTGTATATAAGCTAGTTAGTATAGAAGAAGACTAATAAAACATAAAAGAACTTGCTTGTAAGAGGTTCTAGAGAGTATAGTAAGAAAAGGTAGAGAGCCTCCTCCTTCTTACTTATAGTCTGAAACAGATGATAATGATAAAATTCTTCCACATAAGTATGTGGTTCTAAGACACAGTTTCTAATCATGAATGATACTGTAAATCTGTAATACAGTACTTTGAACCAGTCTAGTCTTGTGTGTTCTCTCTCTCTTCAAGTCCAAACATTTATTACTATATAATCTACCTGACTAACATTAACAAGGCCAAGCCTCAGCCTTGTTACTTTCCAGAAAGTACAAATGTTGAAGCTCTAGAATATGTAATACATTACTATCCAGACTACAAAGATGCCTTGAGACATAAAACTCTTAACCTTACAAGGTCTTCCTCCTATTCTGTCATTGTACTAACTAACAATTAATGTACAGGTTAATATTAAATCACTCAAGGAACTTTATGAAAATGTCTCAAAGTTGCTTCACAAAGTTGGAAAGTAAGAGGAAATAATGCTTACACTTTCTCTTACAGAGTACTTTCCTAAAGAGCCTACACATTAAAAGGATAGAAATATTAACATTATAGTTGTGACTGAATCAAGTATGTATTCTGTTCTCTGCCTGTCTACTGTCAGCAACAGTATAGAGGGGACCTGAAGGCTCAGTGAGAGGACCTAGGCTACAACTATCCTACACAACAGAAATACAGAATGCAAGTACTGGAACATAGTCAGAACTTACAGAACAGGTAGAGAGAGAGAGTAAGACAAGAGTAGAGTATATAGAGTAAGCTTAAGAGTACAGGACTACCTAGAGTAGACAAGATTAAGACTATAGGACTAGTCTGATCTTGTACACCTATATATACTAAACTACACAAGAGTACTCAGGGAGTATAAGCTACTAAGAATGATAAACTATGAAGAATGAAAGAAAGGAAGGTTAAAGATAAAGAAACAAAGAAAGAAGGGGTGGTCAAAGGAATGGAATAATAAAGTAAGGAAGGGTAGTAGTAAGAGTCAGTATACATATAGTCTATAGACAGTACCTCTGAGGGACAGAAGTCCTGAGTTCTAGTATGGAAGAGTGTAGAACCCTTAAAACTAAAGGTACAAGAGTAGAGAACTGTAACATTACCCCTCCTCTAAAACCAATTGTTCTGATTAGTAAACATTAGACTTAGTTAGTAGCTCAGACATAGGTTGGAACAGTAGGGCTTGGAAATCTGCAAGGCTGAGTTTGTACAGAGCTCCAGGATAAAGCTGATAAAAATCTTGGATTGTCTTAAAAGTGTAGGTAAGGTTCTCAGCAGGTTCCTAAGTGTGCTCCTCAACTAGGTACCCTTTCTAGTAAACAAGGAATTTGAGTTTTCCACACAGTAACTTAGTATCCACTATATACTCTACTTTGTATTCTGGTTCAGAGCTAATGAGTTTTAGTAGAGGTAGTAAGGGTCTTTGTTGTGAAGGAAAACTAGGATTATAGTACTGAGACAACAGAACCTTGTTAAATACTAGGTGTATATACTTTTATGTTGCTAGAAGTTAGAGTTTGTAGACAGAGGTACTGACCTTCTTTTTAATAATGAAGAGTCTAAAGTACTTGTTGTCCAATTTCTTTATTGAGTGATCCAAGGTCAGATTAGTAGCTTCTAGTATAACTTTGTTACCAGACTAGTACTCCTTAGTTACAGACCTCTTCCAATCATAGTTTTGCTTTATAACCTGTACTACCTTCTCTAGAAGAGCTTATGTGTCCTCTCTGGTCCTGTACATCTGTTCTGTAAAGTCTGTTACAGATTCAGAACTACTGTTCCAGTTTGGAACTGTCCCCTAGTACAGATGTCTCTTATAATTGAGGAAGAACAGGGACTGTCCTGTTACAGAGTGTTACTAGTTATTGTGTACAAATTCTGTCAGAGCTAACTATTCAGACTAATCCAATTGTTAATGATTAATGAACATTCAGAGGTAGAGCTTGATCTCCTAATTGACTTGCTCAGTTTGACTGTCAGTCTGTAGGTAATATGTAGTAGAAGGGTTCCCTTAAATTCTGAGAAGTACATACAAGTCTTATATGAATTTCAACTTGAATTGTAGTCTGTGATTGTGAATGAGCTTCTAAGGGAGTTTATACAACTAGAAGATATGATTCTGATAAATGTATACTATACTTTCAAAAGTAAGTTCTGTTTGGGTCAGAACTGTATAAACTTACTTAGAGAATTGGTTAACAATTATACAGATAGTGTTGTAACCCTAAGACTTAGGTAGCTTACTAATCAGGTCCACTAAGACTTCTTCCTAAGAGTAATCTAGGATCTAATACAGATGTAGAGAAGTCTAAAGCCTTGTCTGGTAAACCTTAGTCTGTTAGTATATATTACAACTAGTTATATACTTTAGGATTTCCCTCTACATTCCTAACTACTAGTAGTTCTGAGTAATGAGTTCCTGTGTTTTGTGTCAGTCTGAATGTTCTACAGTCAGATTGTTGTAATAAGCTTAGATAATGTCCTCTTACAGCTTCTGATCCTTCAGAACATACAGTTGGCCTTCCTAGTAAATCTGTCTATCCTTATCCTCCTCCTAATCTCTAGCCTGCTTCTCTAGCTACTTTGTTACAACCTAGTCCTGTATGTGTTTTAGAGCTTACTATATACAGGTAACAAAGTCAACATTCTCAGATTTGAGTCAGATCTCTCAGATTGTCTTAGACACAAAACAGGAATTGTTTAGGAGAACAAGATTTTTGTTATCATTCTCCCCCCTTTCATAACCTACTTGTCTTAAGAGTAAATCAGCTTTCATTATTTGTGTTCTAGGTTTGTGAGTTAGTACAAAGTTGTAGTTCTACAGTTCTAACATTCAGTA